TTGCATTTTTCTCTATGTTCCGTCACGAAATTTTGTTAGGAAAGCTCATATTCGAATTTGGCACCTCAAAAAACATAATAAATAGAAGAAATTACAATTACTAAAAAACTTTCCTCCAAAAGGCTTTTTTAAGCACAATATGACTAGATTTTTCTCAGATGGCCAAAAGGAGACCTTAAAACACTTTACATTTAGTTTATAAACTTTGATTCCTTGCATATTCATAACCATCTGCAAATAAATTTCTTCTTAGCAATGATGATGTAAGGATGTACTTCATGCAGTCGTTGACCTTGTACATATATAGCAACACTGCAATGCAGTTCAAGTGCATTTCAGATTGATTATATCTCCGTAAAAAGGAATAATTATTTCACTGATGCTACGGATTCGGTAAGCCTTGGACTGGTTTAAATAAAATGCATTTTATTTTCTGGTTAACATTAAAATTGCACTTTTCTGAGCATGTATCATTTCTTAACTGTTTTCAATGTGATCGAGGTACCATCAAGGGCTTGCGGAGGACCGGTTCTCCCAATTTTAGTCACTATAAATATAAAAATTTACGCATTCCGCAAGATATCAATAACTTGCAATCGTCTAAAATAATTTCAAAGTTGCAAAACTTCAATTGAACAATGTTAGTCATCCTAATTTCTTGTAAGTATCATTGTTGTTTTCTAAACTGTGTAATCGGATCTGTTTTACTGTTTTTTCATTGTTATTAATGTAGTTTATATTACGTTAAGTAATTTTTATTCTTTATTACTTATAAGTATGTTTTCTGGACATATATTCACGCTATTCGATACGGAGTAATATGAAATATTTGGAAATTGTGAGTAATCGGATTATTGGAGGACTACTAAAGGCTATAATTTAAAATTATTTGCAAAAGGTACAGGGCATCCCAACAAAATAAATAAAAAAATATCAATTTTTTTAATAGGACACCCTGTGTGTTATTATATTTTTAGTTTCTACGATCAAAATAAAGATAAATTTGATTAAGATTTATTGTACTTTAATCTCACAATTTTTGAAATATTGACGATTTTCTGAAAATGCAGTAATAATTAATGCTTATACCTTTCTCAAGGCGTATCAAAGTTTAAATCTATTTACTAAATTTTGTATTGCAACAATAAAAATAATTAAAATTAAAAAGTACCTTATACGTAGTGTCTAAAAATTAATTTTAAATAATTACTATCTTTAAACAACAATAACTTGTTTAAATTAAATGGAACATCCTGTATAATTTACGTGAATCAGAGACACAATTTAATTCTTATTTATCTTTTATACTTTAAACCTCTATATTTTTTACCCTGCATACACCGTATTACAGCGTTTTTAAACATAATTACTTTTAAAAACGAAACTGATATCATATTCCGTATGATCGAAAAGAAATACCGTCGTCAAAGATGGCTGGGGAAAGACAATCGATGATACTTTTGGCTAGGTCAATCTAGGATGCTACTTTTGGCTTTACGTCATTTACCAAAAATTGTTGTCAAAAATTAACACTAAGTTATAGAAAGGCTAGGTTAGGTTAGGTTGCTGGGATTTGGTATCATGTTTGGGATGATCCCTCACTCGGAGGCCTTGGACCCATTGCGATACCCCTGTTTATTGTTGTACTAAACTTTCCTCTCATTCTTTCTTTACATTAAAGCACTTCCAGCTCTTTGCAAAGTTCCCGATGTCGCTGATGTTAGCTTCTGCTACTTCCTCGAGTCCCTCCAAAAACCTTGCCCTAAAGTTTTAAAGCGTCGGTATTCCAGTGCTGGACAGTGGCACAGCAGGTGCTCTATAATTTCTTCTTCCTCTCCGCATTCTCTGCAGTAGTCATCGTTGGAAAATTTCCATCTCACGAGGTTTACCCCCGTGGTGCAGTTTCCAGTGACGACACCTACAATTATGCGTACTACGTTCTTTTTGTGCTCTACTAGTTGTTTTGTCTTTTTGCTATCTACCACTGGCCATAGTCTTTGTTAGAATTTTAATTGATATCGGTAACAAAACACACGCTTCGAGATCTGTACTACGACTGACTTTTTATTTTCATAATGTGAAATAGAATGAACAAAGTATAACAAAGAATAAGTGGCAACCTTTGTAACAGATGGCGCCACATATAAACAACTGTAAATAACAAAATATAATATATTAAAACAATAAAACGATCATTGAACAATTTTCAATAATACTCAACATCCCCACTTATTGAAAATTGTCCAGCCCCAAACCTTTAACAAACTTACAATGCTTAGGAGCAGACAAACCCTTTCTAAGTATATCGGCAATCATCTCAGAAGTGCATAAATATTTGATTAAAACTTGCCTCTCTGCGATGACCTGCCTTATAAAATGGTGTCTGAATTCAATGTGCTTAGATCTTTTGTGAAATACCGGATTTGATGCCAACATCTCAGCACTTTGATTGTCATTAAAAATTACAATTATGTCATTAAGCCCAATCCGCGTAGTTTTCCCGCCCCAAAAGCTTCGGGACACTTGTTAAATAGTTCACACCCATAATGCACCCGAAGGAATACGTAAAATTCGCGTTAAACTAACGATTAACGATTAAACTGAAATTTTTAAAATGGCGACCACGTTACCTGGGCCCATAACCTGTTAGAATTTTAATTGATATAGGTAATAAAACACACGCTTCCAGATCTGCACTACGACTGACTTTTTATTTTAATAATGTGAAATAGAATGAACCAAGTATAACAAAGAATAAGTGGCAACCTTTGTAACAGATGGCGCCACATATAAACTACTGTAAATAACAAAATACAATATATTAAAACAATAAAACGATCTTTGAAGAATTTTCAATAATACTCAACAGTCTTCGAGCTGTAGCGCAGTCCTCACGGTGTTGCCACGTCTCTTGATGCTTGGCCTTGATGGCAGTTCCTATAGCTTCCTTCAGTGTGTTGATCTCGTTTGTCACAAGTGGTGGGTCATCTGCCACGACCTCACCCCTGGCCCCGTCTTTGGCGAGTCTGTCTGCTTCCTGATGGCACCCAGCATAGAGTAACCCCGCCTTGTCGCAGCCTCGCAGTCCTCCTCATAGTTTCGATCCTCGATTGTGCCTCATAATTTGCTCCTCACAGTTTCGATGTCACTGATTGCATGGTGATGCTTCTTAAAGCTCCCAAGCTGTCAGAGTATATCGCGATATCTCCTATTGATATATGTATATACAACTAGCCGCTTCCTTTATGGCGTCAACTTCTGCTTGTAGAACATTACAGCCAACCGATAGCCTTAAAGATCGTCGGATGTCTAGTTCCTCTAAGAAGATACCTATACCTGTGCCTCCTGAAGTTGCGGAAGCATCTGTGTTGACTGCTATCTCTTGAGTGTTCATTACTCGGTTGCTTTCCCATTCTTCTCTTGTCGGGATGCGAATCCTTATCTTTTCTCCAAAATCATGTGGCAATATCCTCGAGTGACCGTAGTTGGTCTGGTTTCACAGATTGGTTTCCCTTAATCTTAGAAAGGCTAAAAAAAGATAGAATGTATCCAGACACACAAATCTATTCCAAAAAATTATCAAAAGTCATCTAAAAATAATTTTTACTCAATATAAAAAGACATTACAACCTTCTTAAGGCCAACTGGGAGTATGCGCCATTAAAAATCTGTTGTCATTCCCCAACCGTCTTTGACGTCCTGCCAATTAAAAAATCACTCTATATGATGTGATGAAATAATACACCACATGTTCTATTTAAAATAACAAATATGCTACGTTTTTAGCATGAAGCGGCGACACTGTAATGCGAAAAATATTTTATACAAAAATCCAAATTTTTACAAAATTCCATCACCCCTTCCCCATAAACGTCTAACGTGCCATTACGATGAATCACCCTGTATGTCTATGAAAATATTTCTCCAAAAAATCCTTTATGGGAACTATATCGCCTATCGCCGAACCTATCGCCGGAAGCAAAAGAATACAAAGAATAAAGAAAAAAACTGTTTAAAATATTTAAAAGTAACTATTCGAGAAAACTTAATTTTTTTAAACAGATACGTCTACAGAAAAATACTGTTAAAATGGCATTATTATCAAGTTAAACTTCAAAATTAACAGTTACTACCTGATAACAATTACTTATAAGGTAAAACCCTTGTAAAACCAAAAAGATTCAAACTTTCTGTATGATTATTTTTAATTTGTGTTTAATTTTTTCGTATGTTATGTTCTTTAAAATCAAAGAAGCAATTGCCATACATTACTAACATCTACAGATGCATGAACAATACATTTATTTTTATTAGTATGTATTAAAAAAGCCTTTCTTAATTTTCTTTCAGAGACTATCGCTTTTTTCATTATAATTTTGGCGTTGTTAAAATCTATTCTGTGCCCTGTGTCCCATGAATGCTGACAAATGTTAGATATTGAAAGTCACCCTTTCTTAAATAATCTTTATGTTCTTTAATTCGAACATTTAAGGGTCTAGATGTTTCACCAATATAAAATTAACGCAAGGTATTTTGTATATTACATTTTTTGTTTGTTGTTCAGTATTCCTTGGCTTAGTGTGTGATAAAATGGATCTAGTGTATTTTGTGTTTGGAAAGATGTTGGTATATTATATTGTTTTCCTATCCTTCTTATTTTTTTTTGAAACGCCTCGTATGTATAGAATTGTAAGTTGTATATATTGTGTATTGTTATCAATTTGCTCTACTTTGCTTCCATATTTTGATAAAATAAATTGAACTAAAAGTCTCACTAGAATATCTGATTGTGACATTGAGCTTTTTAACACAAATTTGTTTATATATAATCGGTATTTTCCATCATTTAGATGTTTCTGTCTCTCTGAATTACCACTAAACAACTATAAAAAAACTAAATTATTTTTTATTTGCTGTACCTTGTTGAAATATAATTTTTAGCAAGTCTGCTTACGCGGAAGATTCAAACCGCTTACGTCTGATCTTGTATAGGTATGCATATCAAATGCTAATCCACATGTCATTGTGATTTATCTACTAGATGTAGACGTGGACAATAATGTCTTTTTTTGAATCGCATTTTCCGGTAAGAATATTAAATTGGAGCTACAGAATGAGCATACAAAACGGCAGATTGGCCTTCAACTTGAAAAAAGACGAAGGTTTTTTTGGATTCGCCACCATTGGTCTAATATAAAGCGCACTTGTATTATTTTTTGCGAAATCTGTTGTTTGCCGTCAGTTAAGTCCATTGACAGAAGAAAAAATATATATTTTATGTAAGTTTTTATTTATTCTCATTAAATTTTTATAATATGCATTTTTGTCTAATTGGAAATATATTATATTCTTTATTTTTAAAGTTTGTTTCCTGGGTATCAGGGAATAATTTTTAATTTTTATAAAGATCTACGTTTTGGAATGTTATAATACCTTAATAAGCGTTAAAAACTCAGAAGTTGATTGTTAAAAAATAGGAGATTTTTTCATATAGAATTTTTCCATATGTTTCTATACAAAGATATTTGGTTACTATGTGGTTTCAAAAGTGGTTCACCCCTAAATCAGGATTGACTGATGTATTCAGTTAATTTAGGTCACTTCCTGTTTCACCGGAAATGACAACAACTTTTGATTTTTAATTGGATCCCTCCATATTTTTCTACTTTATTGAAAAATGACGTTCTGAATAGAATGTGAATTCATATGTCAACTTTTGACATTTTTTTCACGTAATTCGTCGAAATAGCAATATATTTTTCCAAATGTGCTAATGAGCCACCCTCGTTTCATTTGAAAAAATTAAGTATTGATTAAAAATACGATTTGGGAATTTTTTAACCGGCCAGAGAGTTAAGAAAAACAAATGATCAAATTTGTTTTTAAAGACTCCTTGAGTAAAAATTAGTAGTTTTAGCACAGTTATGGCACTCTACACTGAAATTTAAAATACTACTTTGGTTTGGCGAATATGTCAAAAATTGACATGACATATATGATAAATCATTCAATTCAAAATGTCATTTTCTATTGAATAAGACACAAAATTTATAGAGGGTACCATTTAAAAATCAAAAGTGGTAATCATATCCGGTGAAACCGAAAAAGACCTAAACTAGTTGAGTACGTAAATTAATACTAATTTTTATCATATATATTATATACTATACTAGGTGGCGTCTCAAAAATGGCTCACCCCTATAACATTTTTATACTTTCAGATAAAAAAACGAGATTTGGTATATTTGTATTAACTGCATTCCGGAAACTACGGCAGCATATTCTGCAGATAAAAATAAATAAAAAAGTTTGTATAAATGTATGTCCGAAAATGCTTAGTTTGAGAGATACGATACATTTCATTTTTATTTCGATTTTTTCCAAATAGTTTCTTAACTAATATCGATATTTGGATGAAAATTGGTGTCTCTTAGACCAATTTTCATTTTTTGACATGAAAAATTTGATTTTAATGGCAATATGACTCCTACTTGTAGAGGGCGCCACCTACATATTTTTTAACTGTTTTAAAGAGTAATAACTTTTCGCCCGTACCTGTATAAAACTACTGAGTTAAAAAGTATACATTTACAACATTTTTCACGTAAAAAATGTCTCTTGGTAAAAATCGCTAGCAGTAATGATTCTCCAGATATTTGGAATCGAAATCATGAATACCTGTCATCATTGACATAAATTAAACAATAATATGTTGACTAAATAGTTATTAGACTAAAATCATAAATTTGAAATGTTTTTGTGCCAAAAGTTCAACAGAAACTGTTTTATCATCATTTTTTCGAATGAAAATTTATGATTAACAATTAAAAAGTTCAATTAAAAAGATATTAAAAAATTAAAAAGTTTCCAAATTTATCATTTCAGCCAAATAACTATCTACTCAGCATGTTTATTTTTTGTTAATAATGACATGTATTGACTATTTCTATTCTAAATATCTTGAGAACGATTCAAATGTTCCTCGTAGCGATTTTTACCAAGAGACATTTTTTATGTAAAAAAATCACGGAAATGTATATTTTTTCTGGGTAGAAAAAAACTCGGTAGTTTTATACAGGTACAGACAAAAAGTTATTACTCTTCATAACAGTTAAAACATATGTAGGTGGCGCTCTCTACAATTAGGAGTCATATTGACATCAAAATCAAATTTCTCATGTTAATAAACTCTCAGAAACTTCTACAATCTCCGAAACTAAGCATTTTTGGACATACATTTATACGAACTTTTTTACTTATTTTTGACTGTAGAATATTTTGCCGAAGTTTCCGGTATATAGTTCGGACCACCCTGTATATCATAAAATATGATTGATTGACGTATTCGATTGTTTTTGGTCACTTCCTGTTTCACCGGAAACGACTAGAACTTTTGATTTTTAAATGACACCCTCGGTATATATTTCTACTTTATTAGATAGAAAATGACACTCTGAATAGAATGACATTATTTGATATATATAAACTTTTAACATTTTCGCATACGGTTTAATATTTATAATATGAAAATAGTATAAAATACTATTATACTCTTAATTCTGACACCTTGTACATTATAGTTTTTTTAAAAGACATCCATTTCAAAAACAATCGCACGAAAAAACAATATTTATTCATTATTAAAACAAGAGTATACTTTTATTTCTTTTTTAAATTAATTGCAGGTTGCAATACTAATTAACAATATTTTTTACAGCTTCTGTAATTGCTTAAGGACATCAACATGTTTCAAAAACTGATAGTCTGTGGTTTATTCTTAATTTTATTTGAATTTACAACCGGCTATCGCGAGGAGCATTCCATTTTAGATGCATTTTTACCAATCTATCGTACAATTAGAAAAAATATATTTAAAACTTTGGAAAGTAGCCAAAATCGAGTTACAAAAAGGAGATCTTTGTTTAATAATAATCCAGTAAGTATTATAACAGAGTGATTCTTAACCTATACGCATAAAGTTGGGAAATTATTGCTGATGATAAATAATGACTAATAATGAACAAAAAAATTAGTAAAATCTTTTTATTTACGGAGATAACAAACTATTTGAAATAAAAACAAAAAACGTAAATTTCATTAAATTCAATGTGCATTTACTGATAAAGTTGATAAATTTCTGTGAAAAGAAAACTCAAATTATTTCAGAATCTAAAAATATTTTACTAACATTTTTTTTTCATTATTATTAGTCATTATTTGTCATCAGCAATAATTTCCCAAGTTTATGCGTAGAGGTTAAGAATCACGCTGTATACCTATACTATTATATTGGTACTTCATCTATTTAGCCAAAAAATAAGTCAATATACTAATATAAAGTCTATACCAATTAAATTTTAGTATCGAGGCCGCAATTTTTAAATTCATTGTTGCCAACCATGGATATATTCGGCGCCGGGCTGACTAACTCGAAGTTAAATTTCCCGTTGGGGATTCCGCCCTGTGGTAGCTCTGATGTAAAAAAAATATAATGATATTTAAAGCTAAAAAAAATTACTAGCAGACCTTGCAGTCGAACATTGTTCTTTTTAGAACCTCTTTTAGTGCAAAGTGGTACAAGCTAGCTTAATAGCCGTAAAAAACTCATCGTAACTTTATTACAATATTTTGAACGGGAAACCGGTGGTAATGGCCTTTTATGTCCTTTAAGTGTTGTTAAGAAAGTGATTTTTATTGATGTAAATAATAACTGTTTATATATTTATAATTAATTTATTTTTTTGCTAAAATATTTTGATTAAAAGAATATATGTAAAAGTGGGCAATGCTGTGCCGATAAAGCTTAATCACGTGACTAAAGGTTTATTTGATATGAACTTTGAAATAAATGTTTGATTTCTTGGTATATGAGATTTTCTTCTGATACTTTAATAAAATTAATACCTCTTTTTTAACGTTTCGCCTTGCATTCAAGGCTGTCTCAAAAATTATATTTTATCAAGATCCCACCATAAAGCGTGGAATATCACAGTATTATTGTTGTTACCTTTTTAGAAGCTATTTGCATAATTTGATGCTATTTCTTCAATTTATTTTCTAAATTTTGCCATTTAAAAAAAAAGAAAATATTTTGTGTAGAAAATACAGAGAAGTTTAGAACAAGCCAATTTTCCTTGTGATTTGAATGGAACGTTAAGAAGTAAAGAAATTCCTACGACAGTTGATAAACTTCGTGCAGGTGATATAGATATCGTAGGAGCCATAGGAGACAGCATTACAGCTGGGTATGGAATTTTTGATACCACTGGCTTGACACATACTCTATATGAAGCCAGAGGGTCGTCCTTTAGCATAGGTAAATATACAGCATGTACCAGCCAAAAGACTTAGCTCATTTTTTGTAATAATAGCTTTTCATGTAAAGTGTGTATGAAATTTTAAATATCCTGTATACCAGGTGTTTCTCAAAAATTGCTCACCCCTATAGCTTTTTTATTTTCATTTTTATTTTTATTATGAATTTTAAAGATTTTTAAGCTCCTAAAATCAATAACATATTGCACTTATTTGAAAAATTAATTAAATAAATTAGTTCTTATGTAAAATGCCATTAATATGAATTTTAGCTTTAGTTTTGCATTAGAGTCGTATTTAAAAAAAGAAAGTTGATGATGGCAGTTCAAAGACAAAACGTCAGTTAGGTTAGGTTAGGTTAGGAATCTAATCACACCATATTGAAAGACAAAAAAAAAGTAGCAATTAAACTGTGAAATTTATTTGGATATATTTATTCAAATATGACTACACCACAAAACAAACTACGCCACTGTGTTCTACATAAAAAGTTCTACAAGAAACAGTTTTCATCTTCTCGATACCTTTCACAATAACAGAGATAAGGAGAGTGTCCCAAATTGCAAAATTTTCAAAAAGACCCTGTAGCTCAGAAACTAAGAGGGCGATAAAACTTTTGTTTGCGGCATCTTCCGTTTGATAAAAAAAGTTTGTGTAAACCGCATCCTCCTATCTTCAAAATAACGGAGATACCGTTTGATTTCAACCAAAATGGGACACCCTGTACATCGTTTTTTAGGAAATTTTCTGTTATCTTCACAACCTGTTACCATACTTAGAATTATTTTTTGGGCATTTCTGATAAATGGTCAATTTATTATACCGGGTGCGTCTCAAAAGTGGCTCACCCCTATAACTTTTTTATTTTTTCAGATAAAAAAAAAACAGATTTGGTATGTTACTTAATGACGTAAATTAGGATTTGTTGCCGTATTCAGTTGTTTTTTGTCACTTCCTGTTTCACCGGAAACGACGATATTTTTATTTTATTCAATAAAAAATGACACTCTGATTGGAATGACATAACATATGCCAACTTTTGACATTTTTCCTTAAAAAGATATCGTATTTTAAATTTCAATCAAAAAATAGATATGATCGTCTAATGTTTTTCGTGTCTTGTCCTGGCCGGTTAAAAGGTGTCCCAATCGTATTTTTAATCATAAGGAACAAAGGTGGCTCATTAGCATATCTGAAAAAACATTTTTTTATGAATAACTTGCTACCACACACTTGGTATTTCGAGTCAAATTTTCGTTATGAACCGCATGTTATAATTTCAAATAAACCATATGCGAAAATGTCAAAAGTTGACATATGATATGCCATTCCATTCGGAGTGTCATTTTCTATCGAATAAAGTGAAAAAATACCAAGGGTGTTATTAAAAAATCAAAAATTGTAGTGATTTGTGGTGTAACAGGAAGTGACCTAAAACAGTTGAATACGTCAATCAATCCTAATTTCTGTCCTATACTAACATACCAAATCTCTTTTCTTATTTGAAAAAATAAAATATTATAGGAGTGAGTCATTTTTAAGAAACACAATAAGCTAAAGATGAAAAGACGAAATCAGGATGTTTTATCATATTTACAACTTAATTTTAATCAATTTTAGGTGGTCAAGAAACATGGGACACGTATTTAACAGTGCCCAATATATTAAAATTATACAATCCAAAGATTTACGGGTATTCCTTGGATTCTATTACTACAGATAAAAGATCTAAATTCAATATGGCTGAAGGCGGTGCCATTTCTGAAAATATGCCCTACATGGCAAAGGTTCTAGTGAAGAGGATGAAGAATGATAGAAACGTTGACTTGAAGAAACACTGGAAAGTACAAGACACTTAAGTACTTATTTTTTAATATTAATATTACATTAGTATTAATAAAAGACCTACAATACAAATTAAATAGACAGTTAGTTAAATATTATTTAAAAATGATAACTAAAACACATTTTCATATATTTCTTTATTAGTATCTTTATTATTTCTTTTTTTTTTAGATGGTAACTGTGTTTTTTGGTCATAATGATTTCTGTACCAACGTATGTTACGAGAAAGATTTCCAACAAGTTTTACGTAGACACGAAAATGATATGAAATATGTATTACGAATTTTGAAGCACAACTTGCCCAGGACTGTTGTAAATATCTTACCACCTTTCAGTAAGTACTAATAGTATTATGCATTATATTACTGCAAATTACCATTTATATTTTTAAATGTCAAACTAGAGCGATACTCGATTCGATTCCATTTATTAATACACAGCTCTATATGCCATTTACTAAAACACAACTAATACTCAGCTCGGGATCTAGAAATCAACAGTTAAAATAAGTTAGCATGGAGTTAACTTTTGGAAGAAACTCAATCATATTCAAATCTGGAAAGTGTAGGTCACAGAACGCTCAGCGGAACTAAATACGCTGGAAAATCCTTTATAGGTATTTCGCCACTGCACTGCAAGAAAATCTACAAAATAAAATAGTTAGTGTTTTTGTAAACACTTCTGCGTATCCTAAACGAACACTGCTTGTCAGAAGTTATGTTTACAGTTATACAAATTTGCCTAACAAAGAAAAAAATGCTTAACATTTCGGAAAGTTTATCTCTTTCCGTCGTCGGAAGCAAAAAAATACAAAGAATAAAGAAAAATCTATTTAAAATATTTAAATTCAACTATTCGAGAACACTTTACTTTTTTGTAAAATATATCGCATTCATATGGTATTTGGTTTATTACATTTTTTGTTTGTTGTTCTGTATTCATTGGTTTAGTGATAAAATGGATCTAAGTGTATTTTCTGTTTTGAAAGAAAGTATGTTATATTGTTTTCCTATCCTTCTTATTTTTTTCGAAACGCCTCGTATGTATGGAATTGTAAGTTGTAGGTATATATTGTGTTATCATTGTATCTATGATATATACCAAATACCATGTGAATGCGATAAATTTTACATTGGTGAACATCTAAACCCTTAAATGTTAGAATTAAAGAACATAAAGATTATTTACGAAAGAGAGATTTTCACAAATCTAAGAATTGTCAGCATTTATGGGACACAGGGCACAGAATAAATTTTAATAACGCCAAAATTATAATGAAAGAAGCGATAGCCTCTAAAAGAAAAATAAAAGAGGCTTTTTTAATCCAATCTAATAAAAATAAATGCTTGCATCTGTAGATGTTAGTAATGTATGGCAATCGCTTCTTTGATTTTAAAGAACATAACATAAATAAACATAACATACGTAAAATTTAAAAATAATAATACAGAAAGTTTGGGGCTTTTTGGTTTTACCTTATAATATATAATGTCATTTTAACAGAACGTCAACGGTTTCTTGTAGACGTATCTGTTTTAAAAAAGTAAAGTGTTCTCGAATAGTTGAATTTAAATATTTTAAATAGTTTTTTTCTTTATTCTTTGTATTTTTTGCTTCCGACGACGGAAAGAGATAAACTTTCCGAAACGTAAAGCATTTTTTTTCTTTGTTAGGCAAATTTGTATAACTGTAAACATAACTTCTGACAAGCAGTGTACGTTTAGGTTTAACGCAGAAGTGTTTACAAAAAATAACTATTTTATTTTGTAGATTTTCTTGCAGTGCAGTGGCAAAATACCCATAAAGGATTTTTTTGGAGAGATGAATCCGCCACATAGGTATAGACATTTCTTAAAATACGCTGGGGTAACCAAAAAATACCGTAAAGGAACACAATGGATACGACGAAAGACAGAGGTAATAGATGTCATCCACAAAATAAAATCCCTCAAGTGGCAATGAGCAGGACACCGGGCAAGAAGGACAGACAACAGATGGACCACAAAAAATACAGCATGGCACCCACAAGGTTAATACTTAATATTAGGAAATTGTCAGGGATATCTTGGGCCCGCATAGCCAACAATAGACAACTACAAACAGTGTAGCTAAATGTGTGAGGGAAGCTACACAATAATTGAAAATGGTCGAATAAGCTGAGAATGCTGATGATGATGATGCTATTGTTTTTTTATGATTCTCATAACTCCCTGATGTAGAGTTTTAATGCAGCGTGTTGATTTAATAATTATATTATTTACGATAATTTAGTTTTTTATACATCTTTGATTTATTAGTTAATCTCTTTATTTCAGATTTACGTGAAATAACAAATCAACCGAATCAAGGCCCATTCTGTCAATTGAGCAGAACCTTTTACTGTCCTTGTGTAATGGCGTTGCAGTACGCCCATTTGATGCAGAAGATTTTCAATCTGATGTTAGATTGGCAAAAAATAGATATTGATGTAGCTAACTCCCCTGAATTTCATACTCAGGACTTTACTGTTATTCCTCATTACTTTACAGTAAACTATACTGTTCCCACGAAAAGAAACGGCGATACTGACTGGGGTTATATTGGTCCAGATTGTTTTCATTTGAGTCAAAAAGGACACGCAAAAAGTTAGTATAACTACCTCTGATAAATAACTTTAGAATATTAATATTTTTTTTTCCCCAGCTTAATTATTATTTTATTATTATCAGCTTATTATTTTATTATTATTATAGTTTTTTACTTTTTAAATTGTAATATATTTAGAATTCAGAAACACCGTTCATGATTTTTTTCCAAAAAATAAGATTACTTAATTATTTCAAAAATAATATGCTGAAATAAAAATTTCTTAAAATAAGTAACTTAATTAAAGTTCTCATATATAAAAAAACCTATAAATTATTAAATAATGAGATAAATTATACAAATAAAGCAGAATCTCTTTTTATTTTAGTGGCCAACGATTTATGGAATTCGCTCTTCCAACCAATTGAGAAAAAAGGATCTTCAACCAGATACGAATTTGAAAAATTTAACTGCCCCACTGACGAAAATCCTTATATTTGTACCAAAGAAAATAGTGCTCAATAAATATTTAACTACAAAACAAAAAGTATATTTTTATGTCATGTAGAATGTAGAATGAGTGAGAGGGGGGTTAATCACTGCGACCTTAAAGACCTATTGTGCCCCCATTCCTTGAGTTATCACACAGTCTATAACCCATCATACCTCTGTTCTAGAGGGAGCAGGGTATTTCCCATCCTCCTCTGACAACAGATGTTCTTCCTAAGAGAGTACACACCCTTCAGCGATTGGAGTTTGGCTCTCCGTGCCCTTCACAGTCGAGGAGCTTGCCGCCGGCTAAGGTACCCATGAGGTGTCGGGAGGATCTGTCTCCATTTTCTCGACCTCTTTAACTTGGTCTCTCCTTAGACCTGATACCGCCGATGTTGTCCCGTATCTATAAGAGAGGATATGTTCCTCTTTCTCTATTGCCTCCTTGGATTTGACGTCAATTCCTATTGTGAGGACCTGACCACGACCCTTCTCCCTCGAGTTGATGACTCGCCAAATCGATGTCCTTACATTGAAGTTCTGACCCTAAGTCTCGGCAGATAGGTGGTTTAGTTTGGTTGTCTTTCACCTTGCTTCTCGGCAAAAAGACTGTGATGGCCGCCCTTTTAGGGATGTTTTCTCCCTTCACTGCAACCATTTGCGGCCCTTGCCAATTTCTAAGCTTAGGTGCGATTTCCACCAACCAATTCGCCGATTCTTGAGATACACAATCTATGAGGATCATGCCCATCCGAAAGTGTATCCCCGCAAAACGCAGCTGACATACATTATGTAGATCGTTGTGTTGCGATCCGATCGCCACTACTTCGTCCAGTATAGCCTCTTCTAGAGACGTTTGCTGGTCGGTGGTCAGAGCAACCTCTAGGAAATCCTTTGGCAGCACCGCCATTTTCACTTGTCCAGCAATAGCGGCAAAGCTGGTGATACGTCCCTGCTTTCCTCCCGGTGTTGGACGGCTTTCCATCCTGGCTTTTTTCTCTCCCTGACTGAGAAGAGGGGAGAGGTTCTCGCTCCCTCCCTTGCCCTTTGATTGAGATGAGTCAGGTTGTTTCTTGATTTCTTTACTCTCCCTTTTTCGGAGGAGTGTTTTCGCTTTTGCGCCCTCTAACTAGTGAAATGGACTCTTAAGAAATACAATATTTTTTTTATTTTGTTACATTTTTGTATATATCCACAAAAATTGGAAAAATACAAGCTAACAACTGGATAAATCTACAACAATAATTAATAACAACCAATAAAATGAAATTATTTTTAAAATACGTGGAGAAGCTTTAAAATTCAAAATATAAATAAAATTGTACATTAATAATTAGTGTTTCCTTAAAATATTTTATAAAAAAAAATATTATTTATTATATTTCTTAAAATTACAATATGTTTTTGTCATATTTACTTTGTATTAGGTATATAACAAAAAAAACCAACACAAAATTTTCTTTTCTGCAGTTCATGCATTGCATATATTTTTTATGTCTTTATACAATATCCGTTGACAAAAAATACCCAGATTATTTGGAGTTACATAAATATCCTACACAGCCCCTCTTAGATTTATTTTTGGTTTATATAAAACTAAGTGTTTGAAATCGTGTGAATACATGGCAAAGAAAAATATAACACCAAACACTAAGATCCATTCGAACACTGTGCTTATCAAATGCATTTCGTACGCTCCTGATTTTGGCGTCCATTGTGTTATATCTCGACCTAAAATGGTTACAAGCATTTAAGTATTTTATAAAAAATTAAATTTAAGGTGAGATATAGCTCCCTCAGAAATTTTTGAATGTATATTATTGAACTATCTGTAAGAAATTATGAAATGTACTTGATAATATCAACAAGTCGTCGATGTTATGGTTTATAAAGACATTGACAACTTGAGAAGATATGAACATATCCAATTCAGTGCAGAAGTAAAACCTTGATTTCAGACTTACATGTGACATGGAGCATCAAGGACTCCTCATTTGAACACGCATCAGTGATTACTATCTAAGAAAAATTAGGAAAATACTGGTAGTGCCATAGATCAGAACTTTAACTCTTTTGGACATCGCTACAAAATTTAATAAAAGTAATGCTAAAGTCTGAAATCAAGAATTTAATTTAGGAATCTATGGTTATTGTAATGCCAATTTTTTATTAGATAGCGAAACATGTAGTATGTAAAATTTTGGTATACCTGTAAAAAATAGAAGAGATAAACCACCAAAACTACTCGTTGTCGCCATTGATATTCCAACTATAAATGTTATAATTCCTCTAATGATATTTACAGTTCTTGATCCAACAGCTGGATAAAGCTTGAATGAAACATAAGTCTAAAATAACAATAAAAAAAATTAAAATATATATTTTGCCTTGTGATATGACGAACTTAATCCCTTTAAACACAATAAAAATACTTTTAGTACGTAGGGGAAATGACGGTAATTCGGAATACTGTTGAAAATTTAAAATACTCACTTATTGAAACTATGCGTGGCGTTGTCTGGTTGAAAATAGTATAAACTACTAATTCCGCTTGTATTTGGGATTCAAAAACAGATTTTGTAGTTATTTGAATTTATAGTACAGCCCCAAATTGTGGGAAAATTAATTGTGACTCGAAAAAGTATTTCCGAAAAATGAACCCGCCAAAAAGGTATAGACATTATTTCATATGTGGTTGAATATTATACCTGCAAGACTAATACTAGCCATCCTAAGGTAAAAGAGACTGCAGCTGCTGTTAAATGGATGATCAGGAAAGGTACTTCCTGGACACATCCAACAATAAAAACCCCAAGAGCTGCTATAATTCCTAAATACATAGAAATTTTGTTTGCAACAGCTATATATGGATCGAATGACTTTTCTTCGTCATTCTTTAAAATTTCCTTTACTTGCATATATCTTATGTATAGAACTGACAGCACTAAAAAATAACAAAAAATCAGTGTATGTTTAACGACATTTTATAAATATTTTATAGCAATAATTAACAAAAATGTAGTTTCAAAATTCATTAGTATTTCTATTTTTGTATTTTTATTATTTTCTTATTAATTACTTATTATTAATAATACTGACAGATAAAATAAGTACCAAGAAGATTTTATTTTTAATATGAAGAAATATCTCAAGGTAATTAATTTTTGAGGAAGAACAAACTAAATGATCAAAAGGTTAATGGTTTCATTTTGTTTTTTTTTAAATAATAATTAATGGAGTAATTTTGTAAAATAATTTTTTATATTCGGATCCCAAACCGAGAATTAGTTTTTCATAATACAAAGTAAAGTTCATCATTCAGATCAAGCATACATTGTATTATATGAATAATTCATTCAATAAAAAAATATACACATTACAATTTGAATTAGTTGAATACAAAATGTTCTAAATAAAAATCAGTAATCAGGTAATTATAATTAAAGTATCAATTAAAGATTATTATTTATCCATAGCTACTAATATAACAGCCCATTTAAAACCAACTTGAATAAGCTGTGCTTAAACCATATGACCATATGACGTCCATACAGTTTATCGCCGAATCCGAACGGCACTATTTGAGAGGCTGTACAAGGCAAATATACTCAAGGTGGGTTTGCCATTGCCTCCCTTGAGGTGGCGCATGGCGGCACGTTGGTCGCTCTATTTATGTAAATACATATTTTTATTTAAATAAATAAAGCGACCGTACTGGCTGGGGATCGAACCCAGTACCTTCCGCTCCGCAGATCGACACACTACCGCTGGAGCTACGGCCGGCCACGGAAAGCAGTCTAACTGATATTAATTCAATATACAATATGCTTGTTTTCACACGTTTAATTTTGGTGGTTGAATGCCTACAAAACTAAAACCAGTTGTTCGAGAAATTTGTTGACGCGATTCGAAGTTTCCGGTGATGCGATTTTCACATTACTTTGCTATTTTTTTTTATGAAACCAAATATGCTAGACATAGGTATATGTTTATCATAGCCTACTTAGTTCCTGAAATACGCACTCTGTTGAGGAGAGCATAGCAAAAAAAACAGCTTTATTATAATTCTCTCTCGAAAACGTTGCTAGCTCTTAGAGTAAGTAAAATAGCGAAATCATTATGGATATAAAAATATAAAACGACACCAATCACAAGCAAATCGTATATCCGATAAACGCGGTGGCATGAAAATTCAATAAATTTAAAAACTGCAAAATTTTCTATCGAATCGAAGTCTATAAATTCAAGCAATAAAATTAATATCGTATCATCGTATCGTCGGATAACGGATGCATGAAAATCAAGCTTTATGACCAAGAAAAATCAAGATTTCTCTTGATTCAAATAAGAACAATCTTAAGATTTTCTCTGAACATCTCAGTAGATTGAGACTAAGAAAAAACGGGGAATGCAGATTCTGATCACTGAGTGTGCCGAGACGACAACCATTCGTGCCTTTGGTACGACTGATATTGGTACGACTTATATTGGAGATGGAGCCCTCTGTAAAACCCATTAAAACCGTCCCAGAAACTGGTCAAAGCCCTGACACTGTATGATGAGTTATAAATCAAGAGAGGAGGACACAATAAATTTGTAAGGTTAGGTTTGGTTTGGTTAGATAATCAAATATTATTTTCCCGACTATTGCCATAAAATTCTAAAGAAAGAAATGCATATCAATATATATTAAAAAATTAAAAATTTCGTCAAACAAATATTCTAATAGCGTCTTTCTTCAAAGTTTTATTTGCATTAAATTACTAAAAATTCTATTGATTTCAAGTTCATCTAGTCAACGTCTACTAAAAATCTAAGACTTGCAAGAGTCTTGCACAAAACCAAGACCAAGACCAAAACTGGACCCTATAAAGCCAGTATTATTAATTAACTGCAAAATCAAGACCAAGACCAAGGGAGAACTAATCACTATTTATTGTTAAGTCAAAATGGACTTGCACAAAACCAAGACCAAGACCAAAACTGGACCCTGTAAGACCAGTACTATTAATTAACTGCAAAATCAAGACCAAGAGAGAACTACTCACTATTTATTATTAAGTCAAAATGAACAAAAGTAGAACCAACTTTCACTTTCACTGAAAGTATAAATATGTATACTCATATTTTTCACTGAAAAATTGCTCTCATATTCATATTTTGTTCACTAACACTGAATGAGACTGCTTCAATTAGACTGGTAGGTGAGAACTCGCCTTACGTAGAATGTAGAGTTACATTAGAGAATTATATTCTACTGTACCTATTCTTGTATACGTGCTACCAGGAAAGCATCATTAGCATATATCGTTTTTTTTAACAAAACTGCAATGGCTGTGACATCTGCTTATGGTAAGGACTGGATATGACTTGGCTGTGCTTATATCTATATTTTTTTACTTACATAATAATGCACCAATGCCCATTGCAAATGAAAATATACATTTTTCTATGTACCACACTCCTGTGTCACTAATATAAGGGAAAACAGCCGGAATATCATTTCTAGTGACAGCTATTGTGTACCTTAAATCAAATTATAAAAAACAATATCAAATTTATTATTTACTCTCATTGTTTACTTTAATCTATGGCAATTTTAATTCGTAGTAAATTTTCTACCTTAAAATAAAAATAAATTTCAAATTCAGCTATTTTTCAGCAAATATCGTCGGCTTATAACAAAAGGCGTCGATTTTTATGATTTTCGAGATATCAACTTCATGATATATGCCCAATGGGTAATTTTTTAGCATGGAAAATTGGTTGTATCTCAATATTATACATTATTCATTTTATATTCATTTAATGCCGGTAAATGGCCCAACAGCTGATGCGGCTTATATCAAATTCTTCTTCTTCTTCTTTTATATTCATTTAAAAAATTGCCCTAAGCTAAATACTAAAATTAATACATTTTTAGAATTTTTAATTTGCTCTACAAAAGTTGATAAAATCGAGATAAGCCTTTTCGTCATAAAGCCGACTATACTGGGCCGGTGCCGCGGTGGTCCGAATTACATTCCGGAAACTTCGACAGCATATTCTGCAAATCAAAATAACTAAAAAGTTAGTATAAATGTATGTCCTAAAATGCTTAGTTTTGGAGATACAGGGTCTAGAAATTTCATTTTTATTTAGATTTTTTTCAAATAATTTATGAAGTAAAGTCAATATTTGGATGAAAATTTGTGGCTGGTGGTTTTTTGGCATGAGAAATTTGATTTTGATGTCAATATGACAACTACTTGTAGAGGGCGCCACCTACATATTTTTACCTGTATAAAACTACTGAGCAAAAATATATACATTTACGACTTTTTTTACCTAAAAAAGGTCTCTTGGTTTAAATCGCTCCGAGTAATGGTTCTCGAGATATTTGAAATTGAAATTATCAATACCTGTCATCATTCATATAAACTAAACATGACTAAATAGTTATAGTCTAACAGCTGGCTACATAAAAAAACCTTATCATCGTTACATGGCTAATTTTTTGTGTGAAGTATCCTTTTATGTAGCCATTATGAAATAGTCATGGCTGCCAGCGCGATCCCGGGGCTTAAAGCGGGGGCGGTCAATCGAAAGGGTGAAATTTTGACACTAATCAAAAGCGCGATATTACTCTAGCGCTTTATTCAGGGAACACTGGCCGCATCATTACATTATAAATATATTTTTTTATTATTTCAATAACGATTTTTTTGTTGGCCCTTTTGCATACGGCTTTTTAAATTAATTAACAATAAACATGACATTCCACCAACCGACATGCATGTATGCGATGATTTTCTTTTGTCAAAATTCTATGCCTCTTTCGCGTTGTCTGCCGGCATTTCAGCCACGAGAAAAATGTCTGTCAACAATTTTACACGTTTCCTAATAATAAATAAAAGCTATTTGGCAATTATAACTCGTGTACCTTACAATACTTTTAGTGTCAAAATTTCACCCTTTCGATTGACCGCCCCCGCTTTAAGCTCCGGGATCGCGCTGGCAGACATGACTATCTCACAAAGGCTACACAAAAGGATACTTCACACAAAAAATTAGCCATGTAACGATGATAAAGTTTTTTATGTAGCCAGTTCTCGGTCTATTATTATACTGAAATCATTAATTTTAAATGTTTTTGAGCCAAAAGTTCATCAGAAACTGATTTATCATCATTTTTTCGCAGAAAAACTTATGATTAATATAAAAAAATAAATATTTCCTAAACTTATTATTTTATTTAAATCATCATTATATCTACTCAACGTGTTTATTTTTTATCAATAATGACATGTAATAATATATCATAAATTAATAATAATATATAAATTAATATAATATTTCCGTTGTAAATATTTTCAGAACGGTTGCTCGTAGCAATTTTTATCAAGAGACATTTTTACGTAGAATGTCACGGAAATGGATATTTTTTCACTCAGTAGTTTTATACAGGTACGGACGAAAAGTTATTACCCTTTAAAATAGTTTAAACACATGTAGGTCGCGCCCCCTACAAATAGGAGTCATATTAACATCAAAATCAAATTTGTCATGTAAAAAAACTAGTAGACACCAATTTTCATCCAAATATTGGCTTTACTTCAGATTATTTGGAAAAAATCGTAATAAAAATGAAATTTCTACACCCTGTATCTCCGAAACTAAGCATTTTAGGACATACATTTATACAAAAAATTTTACTTATTTTTAACTGCAGAATATGCTGTCGAAGTTTCCAGAATACAGTTCGGACCACCCTGTATATGTATTTTAATTACATTGACACCTCATTATTGCAAAATATTATGTCACTTTTAATTATAATATATATATATATAAAATATTTATAAAATTTTGCTCCTGAGAGCGGCTGTATTATAATTTTAATAAATTAACAAAACAATTCTGGAAAAACTAAAACACTTCTTATTTACCTTTATTATTACAACTATTATAACGCATATTCCCTTTGCTAGAAGTATTTAAAATTAAATTTCTAAAAACCAGAATATATCAATTATTAATATATTAAAAATCAATTTATTAGTTGAAAATTTCAATAATTACCTTAATATACTAGTATTATTAATCATAATCTTTTTGTTTCATTTTATTTCTTAATAAAATTTCATACAAAAGTGAACTTAGGAAAGGTAGGTAAAAAATTAACCATAACAAATAATTTTCATATTCTGTGAATACACGTGCGTGCAAAGAACCTGTAGACGTAATTATTAATAAAATATTTGATTTATGCTTTGTTTATATTTTTACAAACCACAACCAAACTAAGTAATTTACATTATTTTGCATAATTAATGCAAAGTGGCTAGTAGTGACTAGCGATGGGAACTATCGAATGAATTAGACTATCGAATGGTTACTGAATGAATGATTTCAACTATCGAATGGTTTCATTCGAATAAAATCATTCATTCATTTGTATACTAAAGCATATGTGACAACCTCGCCGTGCGACTAAATGATTATCGTTAAGCCACGACTATCGAATGCTTTTTATAAATGAAATTTAGTATTCGTTTGATTTTGGTCTGCGTCAGTGCATTATTAGTCCTTCCAAATTTTTATAACTTGCCTTCTAAATACTGTGCTATTTTTGCGTTTATTAAAATATTTAAAATACTAAAGTAGTAGTGTTTTTTTTAAATTGATGATTGTGTACGTGTGCAGGTGGTCAAAATTTTTCTGAAAATTTGTGTGATTTTCCGATCTTTCAATTACTTAATTTTATACGGTATATGGTCTATTTTTTTAATGGGAAATTTTGAGAAGTAACAATTTTTAAGAGAGATGAGGTGAACTTACAATTAATTTTAAAAATACATATGTATTTGTATTTTAGATGTTTTAGTAATATGAATTAGTTGAACTTAATAATCATATTTAAGTAATGTGGTAATGTGGTTAAGTAAATGGTTATCGAACTCAAATTTTGGGATGGGAAAATTAATCCTGCCAATTTAAAAAAAAGTTAACGATATTTGTATTTTGTTTATGCTAATTCTTTTACATGTAGATTTTTGCGAAGAAATATTTTATTTATTTTTAAAGTAAATGCCAGTAAAAGCAAATATTATTTTTAAATACTAATACAAAGTAATAAAAAGTAATACACATATATAATTATTTTGATTTCTAATTTTTTATTTATATTTTTCTTCTATTACACATTGAAAATTAATAAATGTTTATATTTCATGATTTTAAAATTTGTTGTTAATATAACAAATTAGTTCTGTAATTATTATTATTTAATAAACCAACGTTGCCACACAAAAAATTAAGAGACTATATTATTTTTAAATAGGATCTAATATAAATAATTTGGACTTCTAATTTGTTGTTTATATTTCGCTACTACTTAAAAAAATGTTTATATTAAATGATTTTAAATTTTGGTGTTAATAGGTATAACAAATTATTACTGTTATTATTATTTATTAAACCAGTTTTGCTTAAAAACATTAAAAATAATTTTCCTACATCCAAAATATAAAGTATTATTGCAGTGTAACAACAGAATATTAATAAAAAAATGCAAAATATATAGTCATACTATCCCTAACTAACTATAATACCAAAGAATAATATTCTTTGCTAATACCAACTAATACGAATATACGGCAACAGCGCCGTTCATAATGTATTTTCTGTGTAAATACTAGCACCTCAATAAAAAAATAATGTGTCCTTATCTTTATCTGACTCAAAATCAAAGATGCCGGCTTTTTCATACCATTGCCACCGACCGCTGTCGGGTTTCTAGGAAAGAAACCTACGTCGCCGGGCAACAACTAAAATCCAGTTTATATTTTATTATAATCGATCCTGACGAATAAATGAATTTTACAAATGAATGAATTTTATAAATGAATGGTTTTTGCTGCCGAATTAATATATTTCAAGGCAGATGACGCATCTATTCGATATTTTTATTCGAATAGTTTTCGACGAATGTTTTCTTACTAGCTATCGAATTATTCGAATGAATTGCAACTATCGAATGTTTCGATAGTATTCATTCGATAGTTCCCACTACTAGTAGTGACTACCTATTTTTAGACAGAATGTGCGTATACTCGTAGTTATCTACATATTAGTTTTTCTCTATTTATGTAAATTAAAGATTTACTATTAATAGTTACAGTTTTTTTTCAATGACTTAAATTCCAATTGGCTTTAATGGTAACAGTGACACTGTAAAGGTTAACTTACTATTCTTAAATGCAATTATTCATTAAAACTATTTTAAGTCTTTTCGTAATTAATCTAATTTTATTATTATTAAATAATAAAATTAAACTAACATATAATTTAATTTTTATCCAAGTCCCGTGTTATTTAAAAATACCAAAATTGTAAAACTTTTAAAATACACTACTCAAAACAATTATCACATATTTGAATAAAAATCATTATACATATTCCTAAATAAAGCATGCATTTTTCCCCCTTTCTCATGTGAGTTTTTTTTAGAATAACTAGGGTACGCACAGACATGTAATTTTTAGTCGGCCGACTATTTAGTTGCAAAAGTGAAAACAATACTTTCTTATAGAGCCGATCGGCCCAATATTAGATTACATTGCGTAGCCAAGGCTATGCGCTGATAGGCAATTTTTAATAGGCCGACTATTTAGTTGCATATTTGTAACCCATATATGTATCCTAATGGAGCCGCACTCACATACAATCAAATAGTCGGCCGATCGAGTTCATAAGTATATATTGTTTTCACTTTTGCAAGTACCTAACTAATCGGCCTACTAAAGATTACAGGTGAGCGCATAGGCTTATTGTATCTAATTTCCTTTCACAGTATCTATACTATTTAAAATCGTAAGTCAGGGAATTCAAAGTGTTTTGTTTTTCAGATTAATATTTTTTTAGAAAATATGCGATAATTGTTTTGAGTATAGTTTATTTTCTATAGAATTTTGAGATGTCTCTGTAAAAATATTGTATTTAACTTCGGTGGCTTTTTATTCTACAGATAAAAATAAAAGAAAAAGTTCCTATGAACATAAATATTAAATATGCCCTAAAATACTTTCCGAATGAAAATACAGCCCTCAAATGGGTAAATAAATATAATATATTTTGTTTATTTTTAAGAACATTGGCAAACCTTTTTTCATGAAATTCGGTACTCTTACACACATTTTAATGCCAAAGCTGCTGGTCGTACTTCTTTTATACTTATACCGGGTGCGTCTCAAAAGTGACTCACCCCCTATAACTTTTTTATTTTTTCAAATAAAACAACGATATTTGGTATGTTAGTATATGACATAAATTAGGATTGATTGACATAAGCAATTGTTTTCTGTGACTACAACTTTTGATTTTTAAATGACACTCTCGGTATTTTTTACTTTAATCGATAGAAAATGACACTCTGAATAGAATGACATATCATATGTCAACATTTGACATTTTCGCATATAATTTATTTGAAATTGTATCCTGCGGTTCATAATGATAATTTGACTTGAAATACCAAGTGCGTGGTATCAAAGGTAAAAAAATGCTTTTTCCAAATATGCTAATGAGCCACCCTCGTCCCATTTGAAAAAATTGAGATATGATTGAAAATACGATTTAGTCATCTTTTTACCGGCTAGGAGAAGACACAAAAAACATTAGACGATAAAATCTATTTTTCCAAGGCTCCTTGATTAAAAATTAGTATTTTTATCACAGCTATGGCACTCTAGATTGAAATTTAAAATACAATTTGTTTTTAAACGAATATGTCAAAATTTAACATATGATATGTCATTCGATTCAGAGTGTCATTTTCTATCGAGTAAAGTAAAAAAATACCGAGAATGCCATTTAAAAATCAAAAGTTGTAGTCATTTCCGGTGACACAGGAAGTGACCGAAAACAATTGAATACGTCAATCAATCCTAATTTATGTCATATACTAACATACCAAATCTCGTTTTTTTATCTGAAAAAGTAAAAAAGTTATAGGGGTGAGCCACTTTTGAGACGCACCCGGTAGATACACTAATTTCAAAAAATGAAAATAAAAACTAGTACTTTTTATGTAAGTAAGGTGCTCTTCGTTTAGTTCAAAACGGTGAACGGTTGCATCGTTTTTATTAGCTCTCATTCCATGGTTTTATACAGGTACGGACGAAAAGTTATTACACTTCAAAACAGTTTAAACACATGCAGGTGGCGGTCTCTACAAGTAGGAGTCATATTGACATCAAAATCAAATTTCCCATATCAAAAAACTCGCAGACACCAATTTTCATTCAAATATTGACGTTACTTCATAAATTATTTGGAAAAAATCGAAATAAAAATGAAACTTCTACACCCTGTATCTCCGAAATTAAGCATTTTAGGACATATATTTATACGAACTTTTTTACCTATTTTTATCTGCAGGATGTGCTGCCGCAGTTTTCGGAATACAGTTCGGATCACCCTGTATATTTAAAATTAATTTATTTTTGTTTTCGAAAATATTTTGAGTAGAAGAAAATATGTAAAAGTGGTCAACGCTGTGCCGATCAAGCTTAATCACGTGACTAAAAGTTTATTTGATATGAACTATAGCAAACCTAATATAGTTTTTTGGAACACTGGGCCACTTTTTATGTATTTCAATAAAAATGTAAAAGGAATTTAAATTTACAAAAAAATATACTTACGTGATAATAAACGCCACAATAAACCACAGTCCTTCGATTAAAGGTAGTATATAAATATACCTCATAGACATAATACAAACTCTATCTAAACACTTTTCATTCACTTAAACATATAAAATCATCACTAAATTCTTACACTAGGAGAATAATTCTCATAACGCTCAAAAGCACAAACAGTAAAAAAATTAAGTTATTCCCTTGAAGAAGTGCATTCAACTGACAGCGAGCGTCTCTTCGTACGCAAAGAACTTGCACAACAGGAATAGTAAGACTTTTGAACTTTAAATTTCCATGAATGATAACGACTTCGTATCCTTCAGGTAAGAAAATGAAAGAAATGCTTAAAACAACAACCAGTTTAAATCGTCATTCGGTGACGCTACTTCATTATTAAAACAAACATAAAAGTGCTTTTCTCAGTATTTTTTTAGAATAAATAAAAAAAATCATAAGCAATTTATTATACGGTAAGTTTAAATATCAATATTATAGGATAATTAATTTTTATTTTTATTTATTTAACACATACATCAGTTACATTTTTATTTTATATGGTGATACAGTATGTTCCCGAAATGTCTTTACAAGGGAAAACACTCTTTTATTATTTTGAAATTTTGAGAAAAATGCATTGCAAACTTTTCTTAATAATTAAAACGCGTTTCTATGGTAATACAGGGTTGTTCACCACATACGATACGGAGTATTGTAGCTAAACGATGAGATTTTTGCAAATTGTAAGTTTGGGGTTCGTTGAAGGACTATTAGAGCTACAATTTAAAAATATTTTTACAAGATACAGAGTGTCCCAAATAAATAAAAAATATCAAAGTTGTATTTTTTTAAATGGAACACCCTGTATATTATTACATTTTTAGTTTCTACGATTAAAATAAAGGTAAATTTGATTAAGGTTTATTATACTTAAACCTTACCGTTTTTGAAATATTTTCAATTTTGTGAAATTGCAGTAAAAATTTTAAAGCTTCATTTCTCCAAGGGTATCAATGTTTTTAATACTAAATATTTAATGAAGTTTATTTATTGATCAGTTATTATGTTGCAATAATAAAAATAATACTACCTTATACAGAGTGTCTAAAAATTTATTTTAAATAATTATTAGCTTCAAACGGCAATAACTTCTTTAATTTAAATAGAATGCCCTGTATATTTTAGGAGAATCAGATGCACAATTAAATTGTCTATCAAATTGTATTAAACCATTTTTTACCTATCCCTTCAAGTTTTCGTAGAAAATGCATTTTCTTATAATTTAGACCTCATTTATCAATATATCCATGGAATATTGACATTTTAGATTGTTTTTAAAGCAGCAAATGTACAAAATGTACAGACTAGTAATATTATCGTTTTTAGCAAAACGATAATATTACTAGCCCATTTGTATGCAAAAAGAAAACTATTTAAATCTTTATAAAAGAGTATACCATTAATTAAATATAACACCATTATTTCCGCCCATATACTAATTAATTACATAGGTACTTAATTGTGTTCGTTAATAAATTATTATAAATAAATGTGGATTTGAGTCAGAAATCAATATAATAATAAGTTATCAAATTAAAGTCTCTGTTGTTATAAATAAGCATTTATTAAAAAATGAAATATCATTTTTAAGGTGTTACTTTTTATCACACTGTCTAATGCTCATACAAAATTCAGTTTTTTAGTATTTGGAGCAATTATTATTAATCAACGCAAACAGTCAGTTAATGTAGTTTGAATACTGGAATCATATTAATTGGTCCTCTTTAGAAATATTTAAACATTTTTTTTATTTTTTAATGAAATAAACGAATTATATCGACAATATTAGTATCTGTACTCTTTAAAAATTTGGTACATCTTTAAAAATAATCTAAAATGTCAATAGTCCATGGGTATATTGATAAATAAGTTCTAAATTACAAGAAAATGCATTTTCTACGGAAACTTAAAGAGATAGGTAAAAAATGGTATAATATAATTTGATAGACAATTAAATTGTGCATCTGATTCTCGTAAAATATACAGGGTGTTCCATTTAAAAAAATACAACTTTGATATTTTTTACTTATTTGGGACACTCTGTATCTTGTAAAATTATTTTTAAATTGTACCTCTAATAGTCCTTCATCGAACCCAAAACTTACAATTTGTAAAAATCTCATCGTTTAGCTACAATACTCCATGTCGTATGTGGTGAACAACCCTGTATAATGTCGTTTTCATTCTTTCATTCATATATGTCTTTCGTTATTGATACAATTTTAATTAACGTCATATTTTCTTCTGTTTTAAAATGTTAAAGAGGCATATAAGATTTATTTAGTTAAATCTGGAAAGGGTGATAATAGTTATCGGAGAATGTGGTACTTTAGTGACAACAAAAAATATGACGTTAATTAAAATTAATAACCATCGTGGACTAATGTCATGTACTAGAGATATATTGGACACTGATATACCGGGTGCCTCTCAAAAGTGGCTCACCCCTATAACTTTTTTATTTTTTTAGATAAAAAAACGAGATTTGGTATGTTAGTATACGACATAAAATAGGATTGACTGACGTATTCAATTGTTTTCGGTCACTTCCTGTTTCACCGGAAACGATTACAACTTTTGATTTTTAAATGGAACCCTCTGTATTTTTTTACTTTATTCGATAGAAAATGACACTCTGAATCAAATGACATATCATATGTCATCTTTTGACATATTCGCTCAAAAACAAATTGTATTTTAAATTTCAAACTAGAGTATTATGGCTGTATTAAAAACACTAATTTTTAATCAAGGAGCCCAGGAAAAATAGATTTGATTGTCTAATGTTTTTAGATTCTTGTTCTGGCCGGTTAAAAGATGCCTAAATCATATTTTTAACCAAATCTCAATTTTTTTCAAATGGAACGAGGGTGGCTCATTGGCATATTGGGAAAAATCAATTTTTTACGAATAATTTGATACCACACACTTTGTATTTCGAGTCAAATAGTTGTTATGAACCGCATGTTACAATTTCGAATAAACCATATGCGAAAATGTCAAAAGTTGACATATTGTTACGTTTTTCGTCGGTTCCGTGTGGATAGAAAGTCACAATTTATTTAAACACTATTTATTTAACACTAATAAACAAAAATAATAACGATAAAAGACTTATAGAACTATTTACAAACGATTTATAACTAAGAATTTATTTTTGAATTTTAGCGCGTCAACTGTATATTTATAACTGCCCTCTCTAGGCCACTGCCGCCGGCTTTTATACCGACAGGTAAAAGAAATCTAGAATAGTCCAAAGATCGTTAGGCGCATAGAGAAGGTTTTCGAATGTTCTCGTAAGAGTCCATTCTAGTGGGTCTCGATTCTTCTCGAACGAATGAATCATTGCGGTGTCTATGCGATGTTAAGGTCATCCGAGGGCGGGCCATATTGTGAGGTTAGGTCGAGTCCACACCGGCTCGCAACACTGCCCCCTTCTTAGGCACATGCTCGTCCCGAGATGTATACGGTGAATGAAGGTATTTGCAAAGCTGGCCCCTGGTACATTGCGAAGTCTGGTAGAAATAGCAGTCTACAGTTTTCTCTCCCGATCTCAGCTTTGGGTTGTAGCAGCAAACGAGGATCTCGATTCCCGTAAATCTGAACAAGACTTCAATCATGTTCCGGATTGTACGCCAACTCAAACCATCGAGTCCACACGCCAGCTTCGGAATGGCTAATCGTGCAATGTTGTTGTTTAGCAGGGCTTCTCTCAGTTCAATCAGGGTCTTCCATAGATTGAGATAAGTCGGCTTACTCGGGGACCATTCCTTGGTGACCAGGTAGAAGATGTGCCTTGCTTGACCATGTGCATTGTCGGTTAGCCTCAAGACGCTTCCAACCTCTGGATCCTGTCGGCGTAGTTCTCCGACACGCCCAAACTTCTCATTGAACGTCGCAGCGATTCCTCTGGACATCCGCAAATCTCGAGCCACACAATGAGCGAGCGAATAATCAGGAGGCACGGAAAAGAGGTCTCGTTGATCTTCTTTGGTTACACCATAGCGAGCCTTCTCACTGCTGTTGTATCGGGCCATGAAATCGTCAAAGGACATCTCCGAATCAGGGGGATCAAAGCTGCAGGTTCTCACGGTCCCAGCACGATCTTCTATTTCGCCTTGGTAGGGGCTCAAACGGTTGAAATGGACTACCCTCGGTTTTCCTTTTGGCAATTTTCTGATACGGTATACGACGTCATTAATTCTATCCATGACTTCGTATGGCCCTTCCCACGAGGATTGTAGCTTCGGAGATAACCCACGACGTCTCTGCGGGTTATATAGCCACACCAACTTCCCTGGTTGGTATCCTCCATGCTCAGCTTGAATGTCGTAGTGTTCCTTCATTCGGTCACTAGCACTTTGAATATTTAGGCGGACTCTCTGATGAATGTCGTCCATCCTTTGACGTAGTGTGTGGACATAATCTTCTCCGGCGACTTCTTCTCCCGGTCGGCAACCAAATTTCAGATCACAGGGTAGGCGCACTTCCCGTCCCATAACGATGCTGGCTGGAGTTTGCCCTGTAGATTCTTGGACGGATGAACGGTAGGCCAACAGGAACAGGTGAAGAAATTTGTCCCAGTCTCTTTGGTGGTCAGAGACTACTTTGGCCAGATAACGGTTGATAGTTCTGTTCATGCGTTCAACCATCCCATCGGATTGTGGATGTAGAGCAGTCGTCCTGGTCTTGCGGATGTTCAGGACTTCACAGACGCCTTGGAACAGATTGGACTCAAAGTTTCTTCCCTGATCTGAATGAAGCTCCATGGGAACACCAAACCTGCAGATCCATTCTTTAACAAGGGCATCAGCAATCGTGGACGCTTCTTGATTTGGCAACGCGTAGGCCTCGACCCATTTGCTGAAGTAATCCATTACTACCACAATGTATTTGTTGCCATCGTTCGTCTCCGGGAAAGGACCAGCCACGTCGATCGCTATTCGTTCGAAGGGACTACCAACATTGTACTGGCGCATAGGGGCTTTACCACGCTTTTGTGGCCCATTAATGGCTGCGCAAATGTCACATTTCTTACACCAGGCCCTCACATCTTCTTTGCAGTTCACCCAGTAGAACCGTTCACGCAGCTTGCCAAGTGTCTTGGTAACACCAAGATGTCCTCCGCTGGTTCCATTGTGAACTTCCTCCAAGACTTCTGGGACCCTCTTCTTTGGAATGACGATCTGCCTTCTCTCTTCTTGTCCCTCTCGGTCTCTCTCGATCACACGGCGAAGTAGTCCGTTATCTATTACCAAGGAATTCCACTGGGCCCAGTACGACTTTACGTTCGGCGAATATCTGCAAACTTCTTCCCACGTTGGTCTTTGGCCTGTGTTTTTCCAGTTAATTACTAAACCTAATTCTGGGTCACTGATTTGGTCGTTTGCAAGATCTTCGGGTTGCCAACTATCACCAACCACAGTCGTCCTTAAGACTTTCACTTCTTTCTCTTCTTTGCAACGATTTCCCATCTGTCCGCAATTCCAACAGCGAATCGGTCTCCCCTTCTTACTCATATCCTGATCCAGTACTTTCCGCACAATCCTTTCCACTTTGGAATCATCGGAACTCTCCTCAACAGCCCGTACAAATCCTAGAGACCTAGAGCATTCTTTCGCGGCCTCAAATTCCAGGGCACGTGCTAGGGCATCTCCCAAATGCGTTGGATGAGCTAAAAGAAGTGTTTGCCTTGTCTCGTTGTCACATAAACCATCAATAAAAGCCTGTACTTTTAAGCGCTCCATAACATTTTCGGGCATAGCAGGGTACGCGAGGCGAACGAGGCGGGCTACGTCGGCTTCAAACTCCTGCAGAGACTCATTTGACTTTTGAATGCGATTTTTTAGCTGGGAATGATAGACATGTTCCAAATGAGCTTGGCCGTACCTCATTTCTAAATGTCGTACCAATTGCTGATAATCTCCCTGTTCCGATGGTGACAATGTCTGCAGGATATCAGTCGCATCTCCTCGCAGTGCGACAGTCAAAGCGGTAGCCTTTTCAGCGATTGTCCATCCGTTCGCTCTCGCAGCGGCCTCAAACTGGCAAAATAATTGGCCCAAGCGGTTTTTCCGTCAAACTGTGGAGGCTTAATAACTGACTTTGAGATATACTTATTTTCGACTAGTTTCGGTGCCTCCGATGTTTCTTGACATTTTGGTGAATTGGCCTTTTCTATTTTTTGTTTTAAAATTTCGATTTTTTTATTTACATCGTCCTCAATTTGTGTTATTTTGTCTTGTAGTTCTGTAGAATTATCTATAATCTTTTCTTCTAATTCCCTGGAAGATTCCTGGATTTCTGTTATCTTTTCTTCTAAATTAAGTATTTTATTATTAAAGCTGGCCTGTATATCTTTAGAATTTTCGATGATCTTATCTTCTAATGTATTGATTAAATCCTGGGAATTTTCCATAATTTTATCACTGATTTTCTCTTCTAAATTAACTTCCAAGTCAATTATTTTACTATTCAAATTGTTCAAGTTGTCGTCTAATTTTTGAGAATTCTCTGTCATTTTATCATTCAAATTCTCTTCCAAGTTAATCATTTTACTATTCAAATTGTTCAAGTTGTCGTCTAATTTGTGTAGGCACGAGTCAAGGTCACCTTCCAACTCAAAGCAAAATGTGTCAGGATCCTCACCTTCCTCCACCAAAACGTCTCTCAGTCTAGCTTGCAAAATGCTTTTCTTTCCATCTGTTTCGCACTCTCTCTCTTCCAATATGCATTTCAGTTCGGACACTTTCAAATCTTTCAACAATTTTTTCAGAGCCATGGTCAGTCTATTTATTCTTCTAGTCTATCACACACGCCACACTTGACACCATTTGTTACGTTTTTCGTCGGTTCCGTGTGGATAGAAAGTCACAATTTATTTAAACACTATTTATTTAACACTAATAAACAAAAATAATAACGATAAAAGACTTATAGAACTATTTACAAACGATTTATAACTAAGAATTTATTTTTTGAATTTTAGCGCGTCAACTGTATATTTATAACTGCCCTCTCTAGGCCACTGCCGCCGGCTTTTATACCGACAGGTAAAAGAAATCTAGAATAGTCCAAAGATCGTTAGGCGCATAGAGAAGGTTTTCGAATGTTCTCGTAAGAGTCCATTCTAGTGGGTCTCGATTCTTCTCGAACGAATGAATCATTGCGGTGTCTATGCGATGTTAAGGTCATCCGAGGGCGGGCCATATTGTGAGGTTAGGTCGAGTCCACACCGGCTCGCAACAATATGATATGTCATTCTATTCAGAGTGTCATTTTCTATCGAATAAAGTAAAAAAATACCGAGGGTTCCATTTAAAAATCAAAAGTTGTAGCCATTTCCGGTGAAAGAGGAAGTGAACAAAAACAATTGATTACGTCAATCAATCCTAATTTATGTCATATAGTAACATACCAAATCTCCATTTTTTATCTGAAAAAATAAAAAAGTTATAGGAGGTGAGCCACTTTCGAGACAAACCCGGTATGCTTGGTGTATTCTCTGCCGGTGCTGCCACCGCCGGAGAATATAGTAAATAACGAATACATACCAATACACGGGTTTAAATGGAAATCGAGTAAACGAAAAAAATAGTATAGTCTATAAAATGAATAACTTTGAATTTTGACCGTTATTTTTTACCCAACATGGCAAATATAAAATCCCTCTGTCAAAAAAGTTACTGATATTCTTTAAATTGAGTGCCTGAAAGAATCAGATAGGTAAGTCTTTTTACTTTCGTGAAATAGAAAATGAAAATAATAAAACAAGTGACACTTTTCCTCTTCTTGCAAAATCAACACGAAATGTCATAATTGTCAAAAGTAAAATATCAACAGCTTTTGACATTTCTAAATATCAGACAACAAAGAAAAATGCATGGCCGCAAGTTGTTAACCTAATAAAATTAACACTAGAAAAGCCCGCGAGGACTGTCAAATTCAAAGTTATTCGTTTCACAAACTATATATACATAACTATTCTAAAAGTGTTAGAAAGTATAATCTGTGGAAATTCTAAACAAAAAAATAAAAAGGTAAATATTTTGATATCTTCAGAAGGTCTAACTTGCATTATAGTTTATTATTTCAGTTAAAAAAACTGACGCCGAGAATCACGTATAGCCGCCCATACTAAAATATATTGATAAAAAGTTGGTAGGCAGTTCTTTTAGTTTCAAAGAACGGAATTTTTCCAATTTTGGTCCGCGGAATTTCTCCTATCCGCCACCTGGGGTCGCGTCCGATGGGAGTTTGGAGTTCACACGGATTTTCTCAAAAACGGACTACGGAAACACGGAATATCTCAAAAACTGCGACTTTGACTGATTTTGATGTTAGGTATTACAAATTTTGTTGAAAATATTATTCCTAATCTTAAATTGAAAACCGCGTTTCGCTAGCTACTGTAATTTTGGAGTTTAAATTTTTAACCCACTCCCATATCCCCTTACCAACCCCCAACCCCCACCAAAAAATAATGGCCAGATTCTCGGGTGCCACAGTATTTTTGTGCCAAATTTGGTTAAAAACGGTTTAGCGGTTTTTGAGTTATCGTGTTACAGATGGACAGACAGACAGGCATCATGAAAATATTTTGTATTTAAACTCAATAACTCATCATTTTGAGTGAAATTAAAAAAACTTTTTTTTGCCGATCTTAATAGCCTACCATACCTGTTGGTATGATCAGCTAAAAAAAAATTAGATGAGTTCAACTACGGCAGCGAGCATAGTTTTACTACGGGTTTTGCTAGTGGGGCATAATTGGAGCCATTTCGGCTATAACGAATTTTTTAAATATAATTATGTAAATTTACATAATTATATTTTTAGATGTTTATAAAACATTTAATCACTAGTTGATTAAAAAAGTATACCATTAATATTGCAAATACAAATTATATTTCATCCTCTCACAGTATATGTCTATTTAATATTTTGATTATGTAACGAGCACTTTGTTTACTCACTTGTTTCGTCGAACTGCTTGAATCCATTTTTGCTATTTATCAAACCGATGTAAGCAATTATGAAGCTATAAAAATGTTGTTTCGGGAGAGTTGAATATCCGGGAAAGTTGAGTTATTGAATGTTATTGCACCCAACAACGCCTTAATTACGCTCCCCTACGCGTTAACTTTTTCACTTACTTTTTACTACCCGAAAGAGCGTTACATCACACAAATCTCGTACCTGAATGTTTTATAGTCTCAGCACTAGCAAAAAACTAAAATATTATAACAAAACCCCGAATTCAATATTATTTTAATGCGATCGACATGGCGGCGGCATGAACTATATATTGATAATTTCTGATTTCTGCCGTAGAGTGCGCTGCGGTCGGAATTTGCTGAAATCAACTGAAATGCACCAAGCGTCTATAAAACAAATACGACCGTCATTTAGAGCCACCTGGTGATCCGGAATAAACTAATGGCTAATGAGAGTTTTAAGATAATATACACGAACATAATTTTAGCGTTCCGTTACTTATTAACGCTAACTAAAACGGTAACGTTATTCAAGCGCAAAATTATTTCTTGTAAAATGTAAAATAATAAATATAGAAAGTAACGCCGTAAAAATGAAAATAAATATTTTATTTTTACGGCATTACTGATTTTCGATAAATTTATGTTACTTATGTTCTAAAAAATGTTTTACTCTACTTATATTTTCTAATAAATGGTTAAATATTATACTACAGATTTCTTTTAAGATTGATCAAATTAGCCAACGACTCTTACTTTAAAAGCAGCAAAATTGCGTATTAGAAATTAACAGTATTTATTTAAATCTGTATACATGGTGTTTCAGAACATATGCAAAAAAAACCTCTAAAGAGTTATTCTAAATTACTATCTATTTGTTGCCGTATTATTATCATTTTTTTTTTGAAAAATTCAAAATTTTTAACATTTTTTCTCATGAAAAAGATCCATAAACGTGTTGAAGACCAAATAATATTTTCAAGGTTTAAAATGTGTCGAGTTTTACTTTATCAAACATTTATTAAATCTATCTTTGGTTTATACATCACAATATCTTTAAACTCTTTATAATATGAGGCAATGTAAAAAACTACCCCTAGAACTAGAACCCACTCGCTCACTGTGCTGACTAAGTGATATTCGTAGCCTCCGGAATCTTCAAACCATTGCGTTACATCTTCGCCTACAACAAAATATAAAAGAGGTTAGGTATATTAAAACTATTTTTTATTTTTATATCCAAGTGTAATAAACTATCGTCGTTTATTTTGCTACAGAAAATAAACAGAGAAAAATAATACCAAATATTAATTAAAGACAATATACATTTTGACCGGCATGGAAAAATGACATTTTAAACTGTTCATTATTTTAAAGTTTATAATATAATATATAATAATTGTTTGGGTCGATTTTGATATTTTTTTAAGGAATTTGTTGCTAAATTATTTGACGCTTTGTTAAAGCTTGATCATTCAGAACCTCGTAATTAGTGGAATAAATTAGTGGTTTCAATTATACTTTATACTTTTTAGTTTACGCTTATTCACAATGGTTAAAATAATTTTTACACAATTAAAATTAACAGAATATCCTAACAACAGCTTAGGTTAGTCAGTTGTATCTATAGAGGAAGTCTAATATTTTTTAGCTTTTCTTCTTCTTTTTTTTTATGATGGCTCTGCTACAAGGCAACCGCCATCAAGGCGACTGATTCTTATCTGAGTAAAATGTATAATGGGTAAATTTTAAAATAACTAACTTCTATGAAAGTAACCTGTGACCTGTGACTGTAAAATGTTCTTGTTTTAAAAAAGACATTCTAATTAACGTTGTAATATGTCTTCTATCTATGTACTGGAAATTTTTAAACCATTGTTTATCTGGGAAGATTGTTTGTATATTAAAATACACATGCTTTTTTCCTTTCATACAAGATTTCCAATTTATTTTATAATTACACAAAATATCAGTTTTAATTGAATTAAAAATATCTATTGAATCCATCTCCATAGATTTCGGAATATTTAAATCTTTTCCAATATTAGCCAACAAATCTGCCTCTGTATTTCCCAAGATATTGGAATGACCTGCAATCCAGGCAATCCTGATGTCAAAGCCATTAGAATTTGCTATACAAATTAAACGTTTGGTTCTTAAGGTCCAATAATCAGCAGATGCTTTAAAGAGATTTTTACTAATTTTTTGAATTGAACTTTTGGAGTCTGAAAAGATAATAACACTACGCAAGTTCTTTTTAATAGCAAACTTTACTACATCATGAATAGCTATGGTTTCTGCCTTACAAATACTTAAAGAATCAGGTAGTCGGGAAGAAAATTTAAAATTTATATAAGGATATATATTCCAAATCCTGTTCTTTTATCTTTTTTAGATGCATCTGTTAAAATAAAAATATGAGAATTTTTAAAACGTTCAGATACTGACAAAAATTGTTCCTTAATAGAAAAATCATGTTTATTAATTTGACAATCAACTAATTTAATAGAATCATTCAAAATATTAAAACTAACTTCATAACACGGAAAATTTTGACTGACATAAATATTATCAATATAAGGCAGAAAGTCATGTAAAGCTGAGACCACATAAGGTACATTATTAGTATTAATATAAATTGGATTAACAGTTTTTCTAATATTGTAAATTAAATTTATTAATGGATTATTTCGTAAAGTTAACAATTTAGACAGAAATTTGCCTACAAGTATTTTTCTTCTACATTCTAAATCAATCATAGAAGATTCTCCCAACAACGCTAATCTAGGAGTAGATTTCATACAACCTAGACAAATACGTAAACCCTCAAAAAATACTACATCTAATTTATTTAAATTTTTTTGACTACTTGGTTTAATAAAAATTGTTGCAAATTCCAAATAATATCTCACCAGAGCAGAAAAAATAATTAAAAGGGTACAAGGATCAGCTCCCCACCACACTCTACAAACAGCCCTTAAAACATTTAAGGCTTTTTTGGCCTTATTAGTAATATTTTCAATATGCAAATCCCACTTCAAATGTTTTTCAAAAATAACGCCCAAGTACTTCACATTATGTTTATATGGAATAATGTGATTTCCAAGTTGAATCAATGGTAGCTGATCTCTCCGTTTGCCCTTAGTGAACCATACTGCCTCACATTTTTCCAAAGATAAAGAAAGATCTCTATTAATAAGAAAATCATTTACAAGCTCCAAAGCATTATTAATTTTTTCAGACATCTCAAGTATATTTGAACCCTTAACAAAAATTACCAAATCGTCCGCATAACCAATAATCTTTACATTTAAATAATTTTTAAAAAGTTCTGAAATATAAATATTAAAAAGAATAGTACTTAATGGAGAACCTTGCGGAATACCTTTAGTTGCTAAAACCTGATCTAAGAAGGAACCATCAGATTTTCTGGAAAATAACAATCTATTTTTCAAAAATCTAAAAATTAAATTAGATAATTATACTGGAATTTGTAAATTAATAAGCAAATTATAGAGTTTGTATATGTTAACATTATCATGTGCAGATTTTATATCTAAGAAAAGAGCAATAACTGAATGTTTTTTTTTTTTTGTTGCTTATAAAATCAAGTTTTTGCTTATAAAATCAACTTTTGATTTCTAACCACAATTTTTCTTGACGGAAGACAATAATCAAAGGTCAAGATGACATTTCTCGCAAATTTTGAAGTATAATTAGGTAGTGGAAAAGTTAAAAGTTTGATAACTTTTTCTACTAATTGAAAATGTCTACCACTAATTTTAACATTTGGAACGCTTACATTGAAATTAAAGGAACCAATTTCTACGCTAAAGCTTCATTCAGAATCTCGAAAGCAGTGAAATAAATTAGTAGTTTCAATTAGCCGTAGAAGTTTGTTCACCTAATTTTAATGTAAGCATTCAGAACGTCATAATTATTAGTGGTAGTAGAATTTAGAATAAGTGGGAGGGGGTGAATCACTGCGACCTTACAGATCTATTGTGTCCCCCTTTCTTGAGTTATAACTCATCATACAGTCCCATGGCTTTGACAAAATTTCAATTAGTGGAAAAAACTAACTAACTTTTCCACTACCTAATTATACTTCAAAATTTGCGAGGAATGTCATTGTTGCCGTTAATTATCACCCGTCAAGAAACATTTTGGTTAGAAATCAAAAGTTTATTGTTTTATAAGCTAAATATTATGCTTTCTCTATAGTATGGATACAACACTACCGCAAGCTGTTGCTAGGATATTTTATTACTTTTAATTATGTTTTTTAGACATTGTCAATGATCTTAAACTAAAAAGTATAAAATGTAATTGAAACCACTAATTTATTCCACTAATTGGGAGGTTCTGAATGAAGCTTAATTGAAACCACTAATTGCGAGGTTCTGAATCAAGATTTAGCCTCTTTTCAAATAAAAAATTAAAATCTTTTATTGGCTTATTAATCAAAAAAAAAACAAAATGCTATTTTGGCAAAAGTTTGAAACACCCTCACAAGAAATTATCGAGAAAAGGCGCGTATTCTCTCGATAATTTGTTTTTGATTCATCTCAATTTATTTTCTTGCAGATAATCGATTTTGAAGAAGACTATAACAATTAATAACAACTTTGTTTCTAACCGTACCTTTATTTCGTGTTCATCACTCATTGCTATTTTACTGGTTTATTGAAGAGAACCAAAATAAAGACACGCCTTTAAATCGTTAGTGTCTTCTTCAAAAGCGAATATCTCTAATAAAAATATAGCTAATGAGAATCAAAAAACAAACTATTGAGAAAAAATGCGCTTTGATGATGAAGTGGATTTTACATTCCACTCTTTGTTAAACTATCCCACAGTAGTTGTACATATTGTACAACCTTTAACGGACCACACAGACCACCGGGCCTAAGGCCCGGCCTTATGGGCCTTATGGTAAAATAGGCCCTGCACAGGGTGTTTCAGGCTTTGGCTAAAATAACAATATTTTGTGTACCTTTATATAGGGTAATTCACGGCGATGGCACGTTAGACGTTTATGGAGAACCAGATGATTCTTCTTCTTTCTTCTCAAACTCTCCTTTTCAGGAGAGAGTTGCGTTGCCTAGTCTGCCAGGGCCATTCTGGCAAAGTACGTTTATGCTTTTCTTTTTTCTGAGTGATAACGTTTTATGGACCTTCACTGATGTATCTTCCTTAACGACTAACAATTATTGAGGCTCTGATTATTCAGTTATGCATGCATTCTACGAGTACTAAGCAGCTCTAAGTCCCAATAATTACTGTATTTATTAATAATATTACTGCATTTCATGAAAATGTGATTATGACATTTCAAATTTGCGGCTAGTTTTTTTTTCTTAATTATAAGGTTAATGTTAGGCTTGTTATTAGTAAATATTTAGAGTTTTAAATTACTAACATTCAAAAACAAAGTGATTTGTTTTATGTGTTTCGTCTTGTTGAATTTGAAAAGGACGTTATGCATCAGGGAAATCGGTTTTTGCTCTATCTCATATTGTCGAAATAGAAGTATAAGAATTTTTGGTGACTATAATTATGTGAACACGCTATTATCAAAACATCATCACACTGACACAATTTGTCTCTATTGATTCCGATTTTATAGAGACGTGACGGGGATAAGCAATGGTTTGATCAGAGTCGACACATGGTGGTTATTTGTTGGTTCGTCAAGGATTTGTATTGTTTGAACCTGTATGGCTGCTGAACTGTAGTGCAATATTCTTTCCCTTTTATTCTACCAATCGTTACAAATCTTTCTTTCCGTTTATTGTATATGATTCTTTTTCATTTTTGGCATAAAGGTTTTATAATTTGCTTTGGGTGTTGGTGTGGGATGTAGGAGCCCACCAGCGTTGTCCAACTTGTCTGTTTCCTCATATCCATGAATGTATGACTTCGTATCCATGCTAATTGTACGTCCCTTTTGTTTATTAATTTCCTTCTTGTGACCAGTGTTAGTTCGTCCGTTTCAGCGTCTATTCCAGTTTTGCTTATCTTCTTTACGGCACTTCATGAATCAGAGAATATAACTGCCTTGGCGATGTCATATTGTTCTATTTTAAGTAGGACAATGTATATAGCATAAACTTCTGCAGAACAGACCTGCTCCATCTTTCTAAAATATTTTCGGCATTACAGTGTTGTCGCATCAATGAAACACTCAGTATATTATTACATTTTTCGAAACGACTTTCATATCTCATAGTTTATTTTTCTATGTTCTATCTATTATCTCATAGTTATTTTATCTTTTAGTTTCTCTATTATACTAACCTATACTTATCTCTAATAGTTTTTAAGATAAAAAATAAAATATGTGTGAAATTGGAAATGATCCTGAATAAGCATTGGTAAAATCATGATTTTTTCCCGGACCGGGAAATATACCGGCAGGGTTAATTAAATCAGGACCGAAAAAACTGTACGAACACTTAAGGAAAATATTCCAGGACTGCATAAACGGAACGGATGTACCACAAGAATGGAATGAGGCTTACCTCTCAACTATATACAAAAAGGGAGATCGTACTAAGTGCGAAAACTACAGGGGAATATCAGAAACAGCCACCGTGAGTAGAATATATGGAAAAATTTTGAGAAATAGGATCGACAACGAATACCAAGAAATAGAAGCCGAAGAACAAGCAGGATTTAGAGCCGGAAGATCGACGGTGGACCACTTATTTACAGTCACTCAAGTAATAAGTAAAAAGAGCAATATAAACCAAGAGCTACATCTTGTGTTCGTGGACCTGCAGAAGGCATACGACAGCGTTCCCCTTGTGAGACTTTGGGAAGCTATGGAAAAAACCAATATAAATGTAGAGCTAATAAAAGCAGTGGAATCATTATATAAACAAACAAAAACTAGAATAAAAGTCGGCAAAAAGTTAACAACAGGATTTAATGGAACCAAAGGTCTGAAACAAGGGTGCTGTATTTCACCAACACTGTTCAAGATATATCTCGAACAAGTTCTCAAAGGTTGGAAGTAAAAATGTAGAAATATGGGAGTACACATAGGAAATAGCATGCTCTATACACTTTGCTTCGCGGACGATCAGGTAATCATAGCACAAGATTACGATGACATAAATTATATGACACGTAAGCTTATAGAAGAATATCAGAAATGGGGACTCGAGATCAATACTAACAAAACAGAATATATGTGTATCGGAGGAGAACAACAAGATCTAATACTAGAAGAAGGGAAGAAAATTAAGTGCTGCACAAAATACAAATATTTGGGTATGCAAATCACAAATGATGGACTGTTGGATACAGCAATTAAAGAACGAAACCAACTTGGAAGGAATGCTATCACGGTATTGAATGGGATACTGTGGGACAGAAGCATAAACAACAAGAACAAAACTCTAATATACAATACCATCATAGAGAGTATAACCACGTACAGCTGTGAAGTCTGGCCAATTAAGGAAACAACAAAACGAATGCTAGAAGCTACAGAGATGGATTTTTGGAGAAGATCAGCAGGCAAATCAAGACTCGAGCGAATAACTAATGAACACATAAGAGAGATTATGGAAGTTAAACATACGATAGTGGACGACATAAAGAACAGGCAACTCATATGGTACGGGCATGTCCAAAGAATGGCAGAAATAAGAATCCCAAAGCAAATTATAAACTGGAAACCTGCAGGAAGAAGAAAACCGGGTAGACCGAGAAGAAGTTGGCAGGAAGGGATTGACACGTTTATGGAGGAAAGATCTCTCGGAGACGTTGCATGGAGAGACAGACAGGCATGGAGAGATGGCATCGGAAGACGTAGAACGAAACCGATTAATTATAATATATATATATATATATATATATATATATATATATATATATATATATATATATATATATATATATATATATATATAAAGTTATACTAAAGTTATACTACTACTTGGTTTGAATATTTGTCATAACAACGATTTTCTTTAAACGAAACAATTATAATAGAATTATTATCTTTTAAATGGCTTTACTGAAGAAACCAGAAGGTTTAGTTATAAGAACATGATATATCGTTATAAAGCAATTTTATTTGGGTTTTGATTTTTTAGATAATATTCATAGAGTTGAATTTAAAATAACAAAGATTTGAGTAGTTTTATAACAAAACGTCGAAAAAACAATAATTTTTTCTGACCTATCTGTTTGATATCCAATCAGTTGATTTAGATAGATTGGATATGCCGACTTTTCTTAACCTATAAACCAAATTTCAACTTTCAATATGTCGAATTTATGATTTAACCAATGCTTATTTAAGATAATGTTTTTATCAATTTTACACAAGTTTTATTTTTTATCTCGAAAACTACCAGAGAACAGGTATAGGTTAGTATAATATAAAAATTATGAGATATCAAAGTAGTTTTCGAAAATGTAATATTATACCGGGTGTCCCATTCAAAAACACAAAGATGTTACCACTTTTCAAATGATGCGGCAACACTGTAATGCTCAAAATATTTTGGAAAGATGGAGCAGGTGTCTTTATGCAAAAATCCAAATTTTCAAAAAAATCCTATCCACCGGTTCTCCATAAACCTCTAACGTGCCATGGCGGTGAATCACGCTGTATAATAAATAGATGGTTTTCTGTTGTTTCATAAATCATAAGTTTTACAAAAAAGCAGCCAACGTTTGCAAATATAAGACAAGGATAGAGAAAAAGAGACAGCCTGTACATTCTGGGAGAACATTTTTGTTTTTATTTACTTGTATTTAAATATTCTTTTTATTTATGGTAAGGACTATTTGTATAAAAAAGAAAAGAAATCCGTTACACACTAAACTAAAATACTGAGTTATATACTCTTGATTAATAATTAGTAAACATTTTTAAATATTATTCATGACATTATGGTGAAGTTTCGTTTTGAGAATATTATTTTTTAAATTACAAGATATACAGGGTGTCCCAGAAATAAGTGCAAATATTTTAACTGGTAGTATAGTTCAACCCCAGAAACACGCCTATGAGGTTTTTTTCGCGAAAAAAAAATTTTGAAAATTCGAATTTTTTTTAGTTTTTAGTTAAAAAACATAATTTCTTGATAATATGGCAACATAGGTATTAGATTAAATTTACAAGAAAGAAAATCCAGAAAAGATCCAGTGGTTTTCAAAATTTTGGCAAAAAATCATTTTTTTTGGAAATGTTCAAAGTAAAATAACTCCGTTATTTTGGACTTATTTGAAAAACGATAAAGAGAAAATATGTTTCTTTTATCGAGATCCACCACCCCTTAAAATATTTGCACTTATTTCTGGGACACCCTGTATAGATATTTATTATTTATGGCCCTATTAAAGTAGTTAAAAATGTTGTTATCTGCATTTAATTGTTTTTTTATCTCCTATTTCTAAAGTTATAAATTGTTATGATTTAATTTTATATTATACAATACGATCGAAAATAAAACGGCAAGTTGGTTTGGAAATGAAGATCGGTGTAATTCCTTATTTCTGTCATTCGTTCCTTATTTCTGTCGTTCGCTGTCATTTTAAATATTCTATTTAAAATGACAGCGTTTTCATTTCTAAGCGCCAACCTTAACGCTATTATTTTTTCGATCGACCTTACCTTATTTACCTTTATTTGACCTTACCTTTAAAATATAACAGGGATAGTCCTCCAAATGCACCTGTCAGAAACAATGCTAATCCTGATATTACTGTCAAAACTGCTCTGACAGTATTCATGCCAGAGGATCCAAAAGTGGGATATATTTTAAAAGAAATATAGGTCTAAAAATTTAAATTATTTTATTTTTTATACATTCTAACAATGAGATTAAATTAGAAAGATGAAACGTCTTAGTATAAATCCCTATGATTATACCGTATGATCGGTTGAAAAAAAACGGCATCAGCGATAGCTATTGAATGAAGATCGCTGTCATGTTATATGTAAAATTATACGGAGAATGTCAACTGGACGCCGTTTTTTTTTTTCGATCATACGGTACATTATACAGTATAAACATATTAAATACAGTAGTTGCGTGGTATTTTGTAAAGGTGAAAAAATATCGCAAAACGCAATAAATTTTTATTATTTAAAAAAAAGTTTTACTCCGGAACCACTACATTGAAGGTTTGCTTCACTCTCTTTAGACCGGCAAATTGGAAATTATATTTGTTAAAATGTTAAAAATTATTTCGCCATTTTGTCAAGAACTGTTAGAGCTGCCCAAAGAAAATATAACGTAATTTTAAACATTTCCTTTAGAAAAGTGCTTTTAAAATTATTTTCGTCTTTCCGTTTATAGATTTTGTTTTAAATATAAGCATACTGCCATTTTATTTAAAATTTAATTATTGTGATGAAATTAAAAATTTCTTACAATCGTTATTTTCATATATACAGGGTGAGTCTTAAATGAGTGGAAATATTTTCAAGGGTAGTAGATCTCGGTAAAAGAAACATATTTTTTCTTAACCGTTTTTCAAATAAGTCTAAAATAACCGAGTAATTTTAATTTGAAAACTAAAAAAAATATTTTTTGTTAAATTATAGTGGAAGAAAATAGGCCTTCAAATGTTTGTAAACACTTGAATTTTTAATATACTATGTTACTTTGAAAGATCTAAAAACGAATTGTGAAAGATTTTTTAAATTCACCCTCGATTTTTTCGAAATTTCGAATAAACGGTAAGGACTAGAAAAAAAGTTAACATTTTTACATCAAAAATAGCCTCTATATTTTATTTGCTCAAATCAAAATCAACCTTACCTTTCATTAAGAAAGTCCTTACCGTTTCTCCGATATTTGAAAAAAAGAACACTTTATTTATATTTTTCAACCCTTCTCAGTGGCGGACTAAGCCTGTCGGGGGCCCCAGGGCGGCGAAGCTAAATATGGCCCTGGTCTGTTTAGACAATGATATACTTCTAATGCACATTTTGTAAAAATTGAATGACGTATGTATAATGGTTGACAAATTTCAAGTATTTATACAGAGTGTCCCAGGCTGAGCCTGCGTTAGAAGTTTCTAGAAAACTATAATACCTAGATACGAGATTTTGTGCATATCATTGTTTCACAATGAGATCTATCGATTAAAAATATTTTCAATATGACGCGGCACGTTCGGAAGTACCGGAAGTTGATAGCTTTCTTATTTTAAATGGGTGAGCCCATTTTTTATTACATACTTAAATTTTCTGTAAAATTTTATGAACTTTGATATTAAACACTCTATACCTAACGTTAACCGTTTTTGAGAAAAAAAAAATTTTTACAATTTCTGGAGGAAAAAAACTGCCTGTCAAAAATATGTATATAGCCTAAACGTCAAATTTAGTGATTGCCACAGCCACTGTACCATAAAGAGAAGACATGTGGCTATCCATGTCAAAAATTAAATTGTCCGAATGTCATATATAGTAATGGCCGCAGCTGTCATGGAATTGAGCGATTCAAAAATTATCATAAATCATTTTTTTTTTTCAAATGGAAATCCATTTTTTTATTTCACTCGTGAAAAGGCTTTCGTTACATTCGTTTTTAAAATTTGTTACTTTTTGACTATACATGTTCCTGTGCCTAAAATAAATCGTTTTTACGTTATTTAAGATTTAGCTATAAAGCGTAATATGTTTCTTGATTTTAACCAAAAGCCTATGACAGTATATTATCGATCATGATTTCCAAGCAATTCAACTTTGCGCTGTTTTTTATTCGATCGGTATATTATTAAAATATCAACTATTAGATATCATACAGAACGAAAATACATATGAGATATATTTGTATAAATACACTTTTTAAACTTTTAAGGCAGCGGTATAGTTATAATATAGGAAATTCAAATAATTCATTTTCTGAGATATGGAAATAAATTGTCTGACTGTTTGACACTTAATGTCAAAGGAAGCTAGATAAAATCAAGAAAAATATACGTTTTCAAATTAAATCTTAATAACATAAAAACGATTTATTTTAGGTATAGGAATATATCTAGTTAAAACGTAACGAATTGGAAAACCTTTTCACTAGTGAAATAAAAAAGTGGGTTTCCATTTGAAAAAAAAATATTTATGATAATTTTTTAATCGCTCAATTCCATGACAGCTACCGCCATTATTATATGACATTTGAACAATTTAATTTTTAAAATAGATAGCCACATGTCTTTTCTTTATGTCACAGGGGCTGTGATAATCACTAAATTTGACTTTTAGGCTGTACAAATTTTTTTGACAGGTACTTTTTTTCGTCCAAAAATTTTAAATATTTTTTTCTTAAAAATGCTTCCAGGGAAATACCGCGACAAAATATCGCGATTTTGTAAGTCCTCCAAGATCCGAGGGGCCCCTTCGCTGTCTCAGGCCCGTGGCCTCCGTTATACTAAAAACTTCACTGCTCATCATCAGTAATGAAGCTAGAATACAAGTTATGCTGTGCATTGGTTGTAATTTAAAATGTTTATTGAGTATTAAATTTAAAATGTATATTCAGTAAAAATAAATATTGAAACCATTGAAAAATAACTTAAAAGCTAAAATAAATAAATTCAGTCTCAAAATATATAAAAAATAATAATTATTCGATACTTTAAACAAAGAAAATTACCCCTTGATTTAATTTCGTAAATAGAAAATGCCATTGACAATTACTGGGGCCTGATTGATAAATTAAGTTAATATCTGCTTCAATTTATACTGTTTATAGTTGGCGTATACGTATCGTTTGCATACTCCACCTACAAACTGCTTTATAACTACTGAACACATATTGGTCCTGTTTGCCAGTTGAATAAAAAATTACTTATTTTTCGGAAAGACGGGGCCCGGGGCGGACCGCCCCTTCCGCCCCCCTCCCCTTCCGCCCTTTAATTAGGCTAAATTTTTAAAAAGCATCAAAAAGCGGCAATTCTATTTTAAAAAAGATCATCTTTCAGAAACCACTAGGTATAGATTATGATATTATAGTAATAATTTAAAATTCGCTATTTAATGGAAAATCCATTGAACTAAAAATATATATTGAATTCCGTTTAAAACAAAATAAAATACTAATTTATCACAAATACAAAATCCAACCTTAGCTTTAATTATCTGCTGATGATGCTAAAATGGTTAGCGAAACGCGCGCCCATTGCAAACGTAGTGTTTTCGTGTATTGTGGTGAATTAGTGTTTTATTTTGCTGTTTAACACTAAAGGTTCCAACCCTCAACTGTAATTACGTTTAAAAATAAACAACTTTTGTTCGAAAATATATTTAAAACACCGCGTATGTTGACAAAATTATTAAATATTGCCCCGGTATCCCTGTATATAAAAATATATTTTTTAGCAATACAAAAATGTTTAACATACAATGTGGCCAAGAAGTATGACGGATAAACTTACATTAGAGTTCTTATGAGAAATTACATTAATTTTTTTGCGCCATTGTGTCAAATTCTACTCAATCTTAAAACTATTTGATCGTATTGAATATATCAAAATATCAAATGTAGGTCTTTAATAATACCTCTATAACTAAAACAAACCATCCGACAGTAAATGCTGTCCCAGCTCCAATTATATGAACATAAAAATGAGGCCAAACTTGGAAGCATGCTACAACGAACACTCCCAATGCTGCGATCAAGCCCAAGTAGACAGCAATGACATTAAATATTTTCAGTTTTGGTGGCAAATTTAGTTCCTTCTCTTTAGTTGATAGCAATTCTTTCACTTGTCTGTATCTTATATAAATTATGGAAAACACTAAAAATTTAATTCTTATTGTTATATTTGTATACCTATAAATAAAACAATTCAGAGCCAGGAAAATATAAATGTATAAATTAATAAAAAAAAATCAATAATGTACTTTTTTCCACAAACTTAATTCCTGATATATTCACTGGAAAGGGTACAAAACAGTGACTGTTCTGTCATTTCGGTTTACACAAGTTGCAACGGAGACACATTAGGCAACTGTTAAGAATCAAATGGTTCCACCATGTCTCAAACGTATCGGTTTTTGGAAAAACTAGCTGCGAGAGTGCTGAAGTCACGATTGCTAAATCCCGCTTAAGATGGGCTGGTCACTTATGCAGGATGAAAGAAAACCGTCTACCAAAATATCTTCTTTACGGTCAGCTTGTAGAGGATAAGAGGAAACCGGGTAGACAACTAAAAGGATACAAGGATATTTTCGAGAATATTTTTCACGAAAATTTAAAGGGAATAACCATGCAGAATCAGTGGAAGGAAGCAGCGCACAATAGGACGCAATGAAAAAAAAAATGTAAACTCAGTTAACAACGACAAACAAAAAGTAAAGAGGCAACAAGTTAATGACATTTTTGAATGCCCGGAGTGCGGAAGAGAGTAACATCGCTTATCGGGCTTTTCAGTCATGGAAAAGCTCATGAAAGAAAACGCCCTGCATAACCATCTTCGTGTCAAACACTCGTCACCGAGTAATGACGTGTGTTAAGTTAGCACAACCACTTTAAAAAAAATATATGAAACTATGTGGAATAATTGCCGTAAATTAGCCGTAAATTTGCCGTGAAAACGAAAAATGTGCCGCTCTTCGCTAAGTATGTTAAATCAATGGTTGTGCTAAGTTAATATTAAGTTAGCACAACCACCATTGGAAATCAGTGAAAGAACACAGTTATGAATTTTATAGCATAGCAGGAGTTTGCCGTTTTTTTGCCGTTCTTAGATACAATTAAAAAAAGTATCCTCCGATTATTCTCTATCCCCCTGCAACAACAAATGTAATAGCATCAAGGTCACATATTAAGTTAGCACAACCATTCCAGTAAACGTTTAGTAAAATGTCTGAAATTAGGTGGAACAATTGCCGTAAATTAGCCGTAAATACACCATGCAAGCGAAAAATTTGCCGCTCTATTATTTGTTTACAAAATCGATAATTAACGTCAACAATAACGTTAAATTAGCGCGATTTTTCTTAAAATTCACTAAATAGGATCAATAATAACTTTTTAGTACAAAAGGAATATGTCGTAAATAAACCGCGAAATCGAAAAATTTGCGGCTCTTCTATTTCTTTATAAAATCTACAGGGTGATTCAGGCTTCCGAAAAAGCTCTATGTTAGGTTTTTGGTTTGCGAATTTTATTTCATTTTTTTATATAATATGGGCAATGGTAACGCACATTTTGAAAATATTTTTGTCAGCATACAGGGTGATTCAGTATATATAGTATATGAAATTGGGGTATTTTGAAACAGAAATTTAGTGGCAAATCCACTGAATTAAAAAAATATATAGTATCCCATTTAAAAATATACAACTTTGGTTTGAAAATATGTTTGAATCACCCCAAACATATTTTCAAACCAAAGTTGTATATTTTTAAATGGGATACTATATATTTTTTTAATTCAGTGGATTTGCCACTAAATTTCTGTTTCAAAATACCCCAATTTCATATACTATACCTAATGGTTTTTGAAATATAGCCGTTTTTAAACTAAATTTATTGCTTATTTAAAGTTCTCTGAAAATTCTAAATTCGAAGAATTTAAAAAAAAAATTAACAGGAAGTACTGAATAATAGTGTCTTCTTCAAAATTCGGTCTTCCAGAATTTGCAATCTTGTTTGATATATACAAGGTGAGTCAAAACTAAATGTTGTATTATCATCTACTATTTTAAATGGAACACCCTGTATTTTGTGTTATAATCGAAATAAAAGAGCGGCAAATTTTTTAATTTCACGGCTTGTTTACGGCATATTCCTGTTGTACTATAAAGTCATTATTGATACCATTTAGTGAATTTTAAGAAAAATCGCGCTAATTTAACGTTATGGATTACGTTAATTAAAAAGAATATCGATTTTATAAACAAATAATAGAGCGGCAAATTTTTCGATTGCATGGTGTATTTACGGCTAATTTACGGCAATTGTTCCACCTAATTTCAGACATTTTACTTAACGTTTACTGGAATGGTTGTGCTAACTTAATATGTGACCTTGACGCTATTACATTTTTTGTTGCAGGGGGATAGAGAATGAACGGAGGATATTTTTTTTAATTGTATCTAAGAACGGCAAATTCCTGCTATACTATAAAATTCCTAACTATGTTCTTTCACTGATTTCCCATGGTGGTTGTGCTAACTTAATATTAACTTAGCACAACCATCGATTTAACATACTTAGCGAAGAGCGGCAAATTTTTCGTTTTCACGGCAAATTTACGGCTAATTTACGGCAATTATTCCATATAGTTTCATATATTTTTTTTAAAGTGGTTGTGCTAACTTAACACACGTCGAGTAATGGCAGTAAGTTAGCAAGTAATTTTCTGTTATTTTTTGGATTTCGCCTGTCAAAATCTCCCTTCATTCTTTGGGTAGACTCAATCCTCTAACATTTTGAAGATTATAGTGTCTGGTTATAGTGTATATTGGAATATACTAAAATGTTAAATGTTTTAGAAATAATAAGAATGATAAAAGGTCTTTTATAAAATATGAAAAAACTGGGGCCGTAAAAAAGTTAAATAATTAACTATAAGCTAACTGTTTTCGTGATTAATAGTTAAAACATGCACGTATACGCACAATTAATATAATCTACAAAATAAACTTACTTAATAACGATCCGAGGCCTAACATAAACGAAAATATACATTTTTCTATTGACCATGCTCCTGTATCACTAACGTATGGAAAAACTGCAGGTATATCTTTTTTTAAAACCCCTATAGTGTATCTGAAATAGAAAAAAAGCACATAGAAAACTAAATATACGCCTTATATGCCTCATAATAGCCTTATATTTATTTTAATTTTGCAATGTTGTATATGTCCCTTCCCCTAGATGATACAAGATCTTGTCGCTAATATTATAAAATGAACTTAAAAGAAGCACCTAGTCAGGTGCTAGGGGAAATCCCCTCTTTGGCACTTTGGCTAGGTTTAAGGAGCATCTCGCTGCCTTGTCCCTGGCATAACCACCCAGCCCTGGATCTCGGCTTAACCGCCTGAACCAAGAGAAGACAACATCGCCAAAAACCTAAATTCTACGATGGATGGCGGGACCAGGTCAAAGGGATGCATGGCTAGATAAAAGACTTTCTGGTGTCAACCTTTAGGGCACCAGAGAACATCTCATTGTATTTACACCTTACTTTCATATGCGGTGCTCTGTAGAAGGGGACAGACTAATCCTTGCGGTGAAGCTGGAGGGAAACCTCCTACTAACACTGAGAACATTAACAGTGGAACCAAGGGACCAACTCAGACAAAGGGCACTACAGCAGAAATATATACAGCAGAGGTAGCTGACACTTGTGCGAGATCAGTCTCCACAAGTGACAAACAAGCTACCACCTCCTCTAGTAAGAGTCTATCGCTAGATCCAACAGATTACGCAAGCTACCGTTTCCTCTACCCGGCCTGGGTCAACCAGGCGGGCTAGATGACCCGCTGAGAGTAGATCTCAGCGAAGCTAGAGTACGGAGATATCTCTGACTGCTCCACGATTTTGCTCCAGAGGAAGCAAAAGAGAAAACACTCCTCCAAAACAGGGAGAGTAAAGGAAGCAAGAAACAGTCTGGTGCATCTCCACTAAAGGGCAATAGAGAGAGCGAGAATCTCTCACCTTCGTCAAAAAAATTACTGCATATTCTTTTTAGTAATTGTCATTGTCATTTGATTTAGGGTTATCATTTTATTAACGGACCTCGATCAATGTCAAAATTTCTTTTCAGAAATTGTCATTATCATTTGATTTGAGGTTATAATTTTATTGACGGACATCGATCTATGTCAAAATTAAAAAATATAAACACAACTATGATCTCAGACACACCCTAAAACTCATATTTGACAAATAATGATGACGTAACGGTGAACGATGCCTGAACAAACTGTACGAAGTATTTTTCAATATTATTGTAAATTGAATAAATGAATCAAGCGAAAGAATAATTTTTCTACTAAGTATAATAAAAATTAAAAAAATCGTTAGTACATAAAATTTAGTTAGTGTAGTTTAGTGCTACTAACCTACAAAAATCAAATTAGCCATTTTGTTCAATAGCAATCTGCTCTTTGTCAATGGTAAATTAAATTTCGATATGATTATAGAAGAAAATTTATCAAAAAAGAATCAAAATATTTTCAATACTCTATAAAAATATAGTAATTAGATGGTTCCATCGTAGTTATTATTAAACTCATTTTGCGTTCAATTAAAAAATAGCAAAGCGATAAATTCACCATGTCAAATGCTCAGTTTCAATGCAGGATCAATTACTTAATTAAAGTAAATTAATTAGATAATTATAGCCAGCTAATCAAGTTCAACTGTATTGATTGGCAAACAAGCTGAAATTCTCCTTAACTAATTTTATGAAATACATTGCTTCCTATAATAGGTATGTATTACATATAGTAATTAAAATAAAAAAAATACAGATATACCGGGTGCGTCTCAAAAATGGCTCACCCCTATTACTTTTTTTCAGATAAAAAACTAGAATTGGTATGTTAATATATGACATAAATTAGGAATGATTTGCGTATTCAGTTGTTTTTGGTCACTTCCTGTTTCACCGGAAATTACTAAAATTTTTGATTTTTAAATGGCATCTTTGATATATTTTTACTTTATTCGATAGAAAATGACACTCTGAATAGAATGACATGTATGTCAACTTTTGACATTTTCGCTCTAAAAAAATCGTATTTTAAATTTCAATCTAGAGTGCCATGACTGTGTCAAAAACAATAATTTTTAATCAAGGATCTTTGGAAAAATAGATTTGATCGTCTAATGTTTTTCGTGCCTTGTTCTGGTCGGTTAAAAGATGCCCCAATCGTATTTTTAATCACATCTCAATTTTTTTTCAAATGGGACAAGGGTGGCTCATTAGCATATTTTTTAGGAAAAGCATTTTTTGTGAATAATTTGTTACCACACACTTAATATTTCGAGACAAATTGTCGTTATGTAGTAATAGTTATTATATGCATGTTACAATTTCAAATAAACTATATGCGGAAATGTCAAAAGTTCACATATGATGTGTCATTCTATTGAGAGTGTCATTTTCTATCGAATAAAGTAAAAAAATACTGAGGGTGTCATTTAAAAATCAAAAGTTGTAGTCATTTCCGGTGAAACAGAATGTAACCAAAAACAATTGAATTCGTCAACCAATCCTAATTTATGTCATGTACTAACATACCAAATATCGTTTTTTATCTGAAAAAATAAAAAAGTTATAGAGGTGAGCCACTTTGAGATGCACCCGGTATAGTGTGGTACAACATTAATCCAATAAACATAATAGGTAATGCGGAAACTATAATTCTGTTTTGTAGACATTTTAAAATTTATCATCAAACGTTGTGGTTTAAATTTTCTAAGCTGAGTTAGTAAAAAAATCATAGTGAAAGACAAAATATCTATAAAAGACACCAGTGACTGTCCCAGCATCAACAATTTTAATATGCGTGTATTTTGAGTAAAGTCTTCGTTTACAGGGTGAGTCACCAATCCTCCGTGAAAGCTCTATATAAAGTTTTTGGTTTTAGATTTGCATTGCAATATCGTTTATAGCATATTATGAAGTAACGCACATTTAAAAATATGTTTTCAATACAAACGCATTTATAGTAATATAATTCTGTTGTCATTCTTTGATGGGATTGTTACTCATAGAATTTTAATTAACGTCATATTTTTTGCTGTTTTATAATGTTAAAGAAGCACAAAATTTATTTAGTTTAATGTTACGAAAAGGGTGATAATAGTTATAGGAACATTTGATACTCTAACAACAGTAATCAAAATTAATGGTAATCATCTATCAAAGAATGAAATAGAAATGCTATTACCATAGAAATGCTTTTTATTTTTAGGGCTAAGCTCGGGGCTAAGGGAGAAATTAAATTTTATTTTAATGTTTTTTTAATTTTCTCTGAAACGGTATGGAAATTTGGAATAGTATAAGCAGGATTAACTATTTTAGAACAAGCAAAAAATTTTATCAAGAATGCATTTTTTTCAAAATGTCAATAATAAAAAAAGTTTTCTGCTGGTAAAGCCAACCCGGGGACATACCGTAGCTCAGATAAAATTATTAGAACATTTTATCAAAGTAATATTACAATACTTTCAACCAATTTTCTTTCACTTAATATAGGTTGTTTAGAATCTTGAAAAAATATTTCTATGTACAGGGTGGGTAAATTCGACGCTTTTAAACCCTTTTTTATAGGAGATAGGCGAAAACTAATATTGGTGTCTGTAGCTCAATTTTTATCAAAAACATGATGGTGAAAACCGCACATCGATACCTGTTACCGTTTCGGAGTTACGGGGTGTTTTTCAAAAATGTGCATTTTTAACAACAACGCTGTTACTTTTTTGTTATGGAAAATTTTGTATTTTTGTGAAAACATTTCCTAAGCATCTTTTTACATGCGTAGAATTTAATGATTTAATTATATTTTTTTTTAAATTAATAATTTTCTGAAATTATTAATTTAAAAAAATTATACTCTGGTTATCAATAGAAAAATTGATTTTTTATTTAGGACACTCTGTGTATTTTTAATTAAGTGAAAAGAACTTAAAATTACCTTTCCAAAAATATAGCACACTTCATATTTTGTTATAGTCCCCTTCAAAATATATTATTATAAATTCGCCATTTTAAACTAGTATAGGCTTTGGACCCCCTATTGATGATCTGCCCCTTATGGAACTCCAAAACATATTTTTCCAGCAAGACGATTCACCGTCTCAGAACGCTGAAGTGTCAGCAAATTTTTGCAGTCAATTTCGAGAATAATTGAATAGCTAACCAAAATCCCAGCCGTTGGCCGTCGAGGCCGTCGGACTTAGTGCTTGTTATCCTTAGTGGATTTTTATCTTTGCTGCAAAATAAAGGTTCTTATTTTTAAATTGCCCGTATAATTTAAATAAGAATTAGAAGTACTTAGTGATTATGAGAGGGTATCTTTCACCCTCACTGAGTTAACGAATTCCGCGAGAAATATTCAAAAACGGTCCCGTCTGTCCATAACAAAAGACGATCGACATGTCGAACACCTGTAGCAAAATCTCATGTCTTGCTTTGCTATTAATTTTTATTGTTATTATAGATATAGTTTTTAAATGTGTTGATGTTTTTAAATATAGTTTAAATTGTTATAAAATTCTGCATCTCTCATTGCAAATTTTATTTTCGTTTTAATTGCTGCTCACAGCTAGAATTTTTTTGTATTACAGCCAGCGCCGTTCAAAGCCTACTTATTCAAAGTGTTCGAAATTTTATAAACTCTGTATCTCGAAGAGGAATCGAGCAAAATATCAAGTATGCTATATTTTTGGAATAGTAATTTTAGATTATTTTCAATGAATTAAAAATATACAGGGTGTCCAAAATAAAAAATCAAATTTTCTGTTGATAATTCTTAAGTTGTTAATTTAAAGAAAATTATCCTATTTAAACCATTAAATTCTACGTAAAAAGGTGCTTTGGAAATGTTTTCCCTAAAATACAAAATTTTCCGTAGCAAAAAAGTTACAGCTAACAATGCATATTTTCGAAAAACACTCCTAAACTCATAAACGGTAACATATATCGATGTGTGGTTTCCACTATCATGTTTTTAATAAAAATTGAGCTCCAGATACCGATATTAGTTTTCATCTATCTCCTATAGAAAAGAGTGTTTCCCCCTTTAAAAGCGTCCAATTTGACCCACCATGTACAACTTCCTGAATTTTGAAAATGCAATAAATTTATCTTATTTTTTTTATTTTAAGTATTAAAAAAAGTTTCAATACATTCTAAATAATTTTAAACCACGAAACACGCTGATAATTTCTAATATTTGCACACTGATAAATTGCGATAAAAATATGTCTAACATACTTCATATTTGACATTTTACTATACATATATTATTTTATTTAAATCTTATTGTTTTATATTATGTTTCACTTACGTTATAGCAAAGGTAACTGGAAACCACAATCCTTCAATGATAGGCAACACATATGCATATTTTAAGGGCATTTTTTTCAAAATACCTCTTTTGTCCACTTAAATACTTTTAAAATGCTTCTGACACTAAGCTAGAACTACTTTCAAAAACGAACGACATCACTAAGTAATTGTTTGGTACTAATTTCTTTTGAAAAATGAAGTAGGTAGGTACATACAGCCCAATTAAGTACTAGGAAATTAGCAGTAAGGTAGTTAGTAAACTCATTGCAGGTCGTGTTGTTAAATATAGGTACATTTAATTGTAGAACTTTGATATGGAATGGAAACATACACACAAACACCTTTTTTCTATATTAGCGATAAATTATAAGTGGTATTTAAATTATACCGGATCTAAATTGGCTAAAATATATTGAAAATATTGTATTTTAAAAAGCCTAACATACTAGGTGAGAAAAAAAAATTATGTAAAACATTTTCTTACAGAAAGTGTAAGCACTAAACTAAGATTGCCAATAACATTTGTTTATTGTTAATTTAATTACTATAATAGTGTAGTACATTTTGATTATTATAATCTACATAATTTTCAACTACAAAACTATGCAGTATGTACATCTGGTTCCAAAAAAAATGAATACGACTCTACACATTTTTTTCGAATATTTGAGCAGTATATATTAGTATATTTATGTGTCAAGTCTTTTGACATGTTAAGGTTATTGTGATAAAAAATTTTCTGCACCTGGCATGGATGATATTTCTTATTCCGTGTATAAAAATTTACCATTGATTGCTAAAAATTATCTTCATAAAATATATAACAAATGTTTATTTGAAGGTGTGTTACCAGATTCGTGGAAGAAATATAATATTATTAATATCTTAAAACAAAACAAAAATCCTACTTTGCCAGAGAGTTACAGACCTATTGTATTATCTTCATGTGGTGGCAAAATTTTAGAAATTATGACTAAAAATCGTTTAGATTGGTTTTTGGAAAATAAAATTGTGTTTGATAATATTGCTTATTTATCTACTTTTATTTTTGATGCCTTTAATTCGTCACATTCAGTTATTGCTGTTTTCTTAGATATAAAATCTGCATATGATAATGTTAACATATACAAACTCTATAATTTGCTTATTAATTTACAAATTCCAGTAGAATTATCTAATTTAATTTTTAGACTTTTGAAAAATACGTTTATTGTTATTTTCCAGAAAATCTGATGGTTCCTTCTTAGGTCCGGTTTTAGCAACTAAAGGTATTCCGCAAGGTTCTCCATTAAGTACTATTCTTTTTAATATTTATATTTCAGAACTTTTTAAAAATTATTTAAATGTAAAGATTATTGGTTATGCGGACGATTTGGTAATTTTTGTTAAGGGTTCAAATATACTTGAGATGTCTGAAAAAATTAATAATGCCTTGGAGCTTGTAAATGATTTTCTTATTAATAGAGATCTTTCTTTATCTTTGGAAAAATGTGAGGCAGTATGGTTCACTAAGAACAAACGGAGAGATCGGCCACCATTGATTCAACTTGGAAATTACATTATTCCATATAAACATAATGTGAAGTACTTGGGCGTTATTTTTCAAAAACATTTAAAGTGGGATTTGCATATTGAAAATATTACTAATAAGGCTAAAAAGCCTTAAATGTTTTAAGGGCTGTTTGTAGAGTGTGGTGAGGACCCGATCCTTGTACCCTTTTAATTATTTTTCTGCTCTGGTGAGGTCTCATTTGGAATTTGCAACAATTTTTATTAAACCAACTAGTCAAAAAAATTTAAATAAATTAGATCTAGTATTTTTTGAGGGTTTACGTATTTGTCTAGGTTGTATGAAATCTACTCCTAGATTAGCGTTGTTGGGAGAATCTTCTATGATTGATTTAGAATGTAGAAGAAAAAAAATAACTTGTAGGCAAGTTTCTGTCTAAATTGTTAACTTTACAAAATAATCCATTAATAAATTTAATTTACAATATTAGAAAAACTGTTAATCCAATTTATATTAATAGTAATAATGTACCTTATGTGGTCTCAGCTTTACATGACTTTCTGCCTTATATTGATAATCTTTATGTTAGTCAAAATTTTCCGTGTTATGAAGTTAGTTTTAATATTTTGAATGATTCTATTGAATTAGTTGATTGTTAAATTAATAAACATGATTTTTCTATTAAGGAACAATTTTTTTCAGTATCTGAACGTTTTAAAAATTCTCATATTTTTATTTTTACAGATGCATCTAAAAAAGATAAAAGAACAGGATTTGGAATATATATTCCATATATAAATTTTAAATTTTCTTTGCGACTACCTGATTCTTTAAGTATTTGTAAGACAGAAACCATAGCTATTCATGATGCAGTAAAGTTTGATATTAAAAAGAACTTGCGTAGTGTTATTATCTTTTCAGATTCCAAAAGTTCAATTCAAAAAATTACTAAAAATCTCTTTAAAGCATCTGCTGATTATTGGACCTTAAGATCCAAACGTTTAATTTGTTTAGCAAATTCTAATGGTTTTGACATGAGGATTGCCTGGATTCCAGGTCATTCCAATATCTTGGGAAATACAGAGGCAGATTTGTTGGCTAATATTGGAAAAGATTTAAATATTCCGAAATCTATGGAGATGGATTCAATAGATATTTTTAATTCAATTAAAAGTGATATTTTGTGTAATTATAAAGAAAACTGGAAATCTCGTATGAAAGGAAAAAAGCATGTGTATTTTAATATACAATCTTCGCAGATAAAAAATGGTTTAAAAATTTCCAGTATATAGATAGAAGACATATTACAACGTTAATTAGAATGCGTACAGGCCATTGCTTAACAAAAAACCATTTATATAAAATTAAAGTGAAGGAAGATCCATTCTGTGAGTGTGGCTCTGTTGAAGACCTAAATCAAATTTTTTTAGAACGTCCTATAAATTTTTTGTTTAATTTGGATTTATATCAAAAATTTATTGAAATGAATTTTCCTACTCCACTATCAATATTTACAGTTTTGTTTAAGCCAAGTGAAAAATTAATAGAAACTATTATGATATTTTTAAACATTAATAGAATTAAATTATAATGCTCAACTTTCTATTTTTTCTTTTTTTTTTTCTTTTTGTTTCAGTTTCCGAGTGCAGTCTGTTTGTGTGACCCCTCCCCTATGTGCTTTTGTTTGTGATATAATCTTCCTTTCAGCACGTCATTTATATATTTAATAAATAATAATAACATTTTACAGTCGCAGGTCACAGGTTACCTTCATAGAAGTTAGTTATATTAAAATTTACCCATTATACATTTTACTCAGATAAGAATCAGTGGCCTTGATATGGTTTAGAGCCAGTCAACATCTTGGTCACTCCCAAATTGAGCTGGCGGTTGCCTTGTGCAGAGCCATCATAAAAGAAGAAGAAGAAGAAGAACTTTGCTTTTGACAAAGTGGCAAATACATTTTTCAGAATGTCAGCATGACATGAGTAGAGAGATGGGGGACTCCTATCATAGAATATACTGCCCGAAATAATAAAAATATGTTTTAAATCGTATTCAATTTTATTGGAACCAGCTGTACAGGGTGGTCGAAATAGGTGTGTTTTAACAGAGAAAACCTATTTCCTGACTAGATAGAGCAAAACCGACATAGATGTCATGGGCTTGATTTCTGAGAAACGTTTAATGGCCTAAACCGCCTGTTCATATTTTCATTGCCAACCGAGATACGGAGTCTTTTTGAATTTTTTACCATTTGGAAAATTGCCCATAACTTTTGTATTTCCCGGAATAATAAAATTCTGTAAAAACGTTCTTAATGCACTTTTTTAAGCACAATCCAGTGGTGTAGTCAGTTTTTTTCTATACTTGCTTTTTTAGTCAGAAATAATAAAAAATATAATTTTTTAAATAGAAATCATAGTTGCCTATGAACTTAAATAAATGCTGGCGTTTAACCCTTTCCAATGATATAAAGTTATGTGTATCTATTTCTAAAAATGAGAGAAATATTACGTTTTATATCTTTGTACCGAAGCGGGCCTTGATTTTGTGTTGACCTATAGTTGCCTAATTTTTTTTATCACAATTTAATATTCTATGTCATTATTTATTTGCATAATTAAAGACTTTTGAAAAGATAAATCAACATTCTATATTAGTATTACCATTTACAATTAAAAAGCCAGGGTTACGACTGCGCTATTAAATGGAGAATTTAGAGAGACTTGGATTGGAACAAGGAGTCCCATATCTTGGCCTGCTAGGTCCTGTGATGTAACTCCTTTGTACTTTTTTATATGGGGGAAATTAAAAGGCCTTATATATAAGGGAAGAACCATTGGGACGAGAGAAGAATTACAGAAGGCTACTAGCACAGAATATCTAGCTACGCAACAGAAGCCTCGTTACATGTATAAAATTATAGGTAGCAAAAGGAGACAGGCTTTAAAAGTCTGTCTCCAAATCAGATATTTTGATGTGCTAGGTTCGCTACGACATAATAGAGGGCAATAAATTTAAAAGAAAACAGTTTTCTACAAACAAAATTTAAAAGAATTTTGTGCAGCGTTGCCAATGTGTAATTCATATCGTAATACTTCCTGATAAAGCCTACTTTCAAATTTGCTACATCATTTAAACATATTAAAATAGATCAGAGCTGTTTTTTTCAGTTTGCCATGTTAGTTGGAATTAAATCTTATGAGCTAAATTACAATCACTTCCTGACGTTTGATTGTATAATTGAATCCTGAATTTTCATTGTAATTCGGCGACAATATAATAAGTATTGTTCTACTATTATGATACCACTTCCTGACGTTCGATTGTGTTCATACCAAGTTCATATTGTATAATCGGGAAAAAACGGCGTTAGTGATAGCTATGAAATTAATATCACTGTCATTTTATATGTAAATTTATATAGGAAATGTCATCGATCGTCATTTTCCAGCCAACTGGACGCCGTTTTTTTCAGAAGCATATCAAGTGATACCATAATATAGTACTATATTACGATACATGGCGTTCGATTGGGCTTAAACTTGGTATACTATATCTTCAGTGACATTGTAATATCATGGTACCATGGAGCATATAAAGTGGTACCTTCTATAGTACCATATAGCAATATTAGGTACATGGCGGCAATAGGGCTTAAACTTGGTATACTACGTATTTTCGGTGACATTGTAATATGATGGTACTATGATGCATATCATCTGGTACCATAATATAGTACCATATTATGTACATGGCATTCGATTGGGCTTAAATTTGGGATACTACGTATCTTCGGTGATATTGTAATATTATGGTACCATGGAGCATAATAAGAGG